CCGCCTAACGTTTTGTGCAATTGGGCCTGTGTTCAGCTATCGTTATTAAAAACAAAGAACAGACAGGCAGGCATGTATATGCCCCTCTCACCAATTGCGAGCATCCTGGTCAGAATTCACAGGGTTCACAGATGAACTGCCACCGATTTTATATATATGGTAGATGCTCAGTGCTGAGGGCTGATAATGGGGATTTAAATAATTCAAAGGTCATTCAGCTCCTCCCACCTTTAGCTGCAGCCCGATGCCAACCGCAGAGGGTGGGTGACAGCATTTGCAGGCCAAAAAAAATTCTATATATAAACAGTGGAGAAATTGTAGGTGTGTGCCGAAATCTACGTAGAACCACCGTGCATAATTGTCCGGTCACTGATAAATGCACGCACGGTGACCATTATCCCGTGCACACATCCTTGCAGCGGGTTGACGTACACATACAGGAGCAGCGATTGCCTCTCCAGGGGTCAGCATATTCACCCAAAACCCTGAGCGACAAGTCCCCGTCGTGGTTAATGAGGCCGGACCTCATCGTTATGGGTATGTACATATATATTTATTTTCATCGTTGCCTATAACGCTGTGCACAAAATTGCGCCACGTGATTACATTCACCACACTGAAAAGAAAAATATATAATAACGAAACGAGCGCGTGGCTACATTAAACGGAAGACGGCAGCTTACCCTTGAAGTGTCATGCATTGAATGGCGTGGCAAGGTTTTGGCCTCATGAATGTGCGTGATTCCTCCGGATGTGTAAGTGGGAGAATTATTCGGTTCGATGTGAACGTGAGCCACGAGCACACGGCTCCGGCAGGCTGTATCTCAATCCGCCTCTATATTATCTAGTTCAATGCATTCGCACTTTTTAGTGTCCTTATATATTAGGTAGGCTGTAGTCTTTATATATATGTAGTTTTGTAGGCGAATGTGCGAGCTCACGCAGCATTGATTATGCGTTTTACAATGCATAGGATCTACAGATCGGTTGCTGAACAATATTAAACGTGTATAGCCCAAAGTACGTGCGTGCATCTCTTTAAGAGATGAATAAAAGTGTTAATGTTATTATTTATGAATTTAATGGAATAATAAAAGTGCATTACTGTTGTATATAAAGTGCGCACGTTAAGTTTTTTTCGTTTGCTTCAATGGCTCCGCACGTGACACATTTACATTCTGGGTAAGCCCGAAATTTACACGGTCAATTTAAAATCATTATGAATTGCTCCACAATGTTTGAGAAATATTATATTGGCACGAAATGTTATAATTAGCGCTGCCGTAATTACAATCTGCAACACTTTAACAGAGCTTGTTTTATGAGCCACGAGAAAATCCTGCTGCTGTTGGGAGCCCTCACAAGAAAACTCGAAATTACCAACAGTGACTCATCTGTGTGTGGCTTTTTGCCTGTCAAGTCCCTGCCAAATCCCCTGCCAGCTTTGACTGGCACACAACCTTTAATTTGTTATTTTTCTGCCGGGCCCCTCGCTCAAGCCACGCTTCAGCAATTGTATGTTTGCCAGGATAAATGATCGATTATCGTAAGGCCCTGATAATCATGCATTCCCCCCCCCCCCCCAAAAAAAATGCTATATAATTATTTAAAGTATATGGAAGTAGACCTGTTCCGTGTCTCCACATATAAGTCAAAGTGTGTTTTAGTCCATTATCCCGTTGTCTTTCCAGACCAATATTTAGCAGAATTTGTTTTAACAAAAATCTAACTCGACTGGCTTTTATCTTCTGCGGCTCCTCATCAGAGTCAGGCGTGTAAAGAAATGCCGTTTGACTACCAGATGTTATTGTCAAGAGTACTCCATATAAACCATGGGACCCCATTCAACCGAAAAAGCTACTTTGTACACAAACCCACTATGTTTTGCCATGTAGTATTATGAGTAAAAATTTGAAAGTATTTATATTGTTCTCAAATATCAATACTGTACACGCAGTTTCTGTGAATCATGAAATTGTATACTTCAATATTATATAAGGGACGTCTCTTCTTGGTTCTTTCGGTAAAGTCACGTAGAAGGAAAAAAATAAAATAATAAAAATAAAAGATAATAAAATAATTCTCACGACGTTTCGGCCACAACGCAAGCAGCCGTCCTCAGGTGAAGAACAGGTCTGTCGGGGAGACAGTGTCATTCAGACTCTGTCTTCTCGACAGACCTATTCTTCACCTGAGGACGGCTGATTATTTGGTTCTTTCGGTTAAGTCACGTCTAAAGATAAAATAATAAATTAAATTAAATAATAGCATACGACGTTTCGATTGCAACACAAGCAATCATCATCAGGTATAATGAAATAGCGACATAAAATCTAACCAGAAAACTATAGACAGACATATTAGCAGACAGATATCACCAAGATACATAGAGGGAGCAACACAGGAACCAGAGAGGGGTGATCATCTCTGTGGGGTGGCCTTAAGGCCTGTGTTGCTCCCTCTATGTATCTTGGTGATATCTGTCTGCTAATATGTCTGTCTATAGTTTTCTGGTTAGATTTTATGTCGCTATTTCATTATACCTGATGATGATTGCTTGTGTTGCAATCGAAACGTCGTATGCTATTATTTAATTTAATTTATTATTTTATCTTTAGACGTGACTTAACCGAAAGAACCAAATAATCATTTACTGCAGTCACGAAAGTTCTAAATTTAAGATTGAGGACGGCTGCTTGCGTTGTGGCCGAAACGTCGTGAGAATTATTTTATTATGTTTTATTTTTATTATTGTATTACTTCCCTTCTACGTGACTTTACCGAAAGAACCAAGAAGATGAATGCGTGTCCAGTTTTATTCATCCACAATTGTTCCTCAGTCAAGCATATCAAGTTGGATGAGACACCTTAAATGAACTCTGTGTTCCTGGCTTTGAGACACGCAGTGATCGTCATCCAAGAGGCTTTGAAAAATTACAATAATTATGTATGAATGACTCTGTAAATGCAAGCCCACGCTTTGTGTAACAATGAAACGCATTACAGGAGAGAGATCATTAACTGTCGTTTGGATCGTGTGTACTAATTACTACCTTGGGGCCCAATGGGATATCCTTTGTCCGATCCTTTGGAGAAATTGCGTCTTGAGTGTACGGAGCAATATTAAAACATAATTTTACTTAGCCTTTGATAGGTTCTGATGATTATATTTTATTCTCAGGGGCAAACGAACGTATTGGCGGTACACCGGTGCGCAGTATTTCTAAAAAAGCGAATAATTCTCAATTATTTATTTTCTCGAGATTTGCAATCTTGGTCAGAAAATCTTACGGGGTGGTGCGTCAAAATCAGTTCTCGTGAAGTCGAAGCAGTCGGAAGACAAAATGTTATAAGCAGCTGAGCACGAAGCTTTCACAGCCTATTGCTGTATAGCACACAGCCTGATGACGATGGGCTCCGTGTTCCAAAGGCAGATATGACTCGTGCCATAGACTTGATCGGACGGCTCCTCGATTCATTTCAGGAATAATTTCTTGGCGGACGGTGGCAACAAAAGGTTACGACTCATTTCACGTTTGGGGCCGTCCATAAATGACGTCACGCACCTGGAGGGGTGGGTCAGACATTTGTGACGGGGGGGGGGGGGTGAGAAATGTGACGTCACATCAAAATGCGCAACTTTATATAAATATAGACAACACGTTCTACTTAATTAAATAGACTTTTTAAAATAAATATTTTCTCCTAGAACATCAGAGTGCAGCGCCACATTAAATACGCACTACAATGACAACAGTTTAAAGCGATTTGAAGCATGTTTTATTTTTTCGGGGGGGGGGGGGGCAGAGCTTTGTGACGTCATCTTTGAGGGGGGGTCTGATTTTTTGTGACGCCGTGTGACGAAAGAGAGGGGGGGGGGGGTCAAAAATCGTCCAAAATCGCGTGACGTCATTTATGGACGGCCCCTTTGAATGGGAAAGCAGCTTCTGAATCTAAGGTAACGTCTGAGGGAGCGTCTGCAGCTCACTCAAGGGCAACAGCGACACCTTCAGACTGTTTTATGAACGCCGGTGAAGCAATTCTGCACAAGCGTCACACGTGTACCGCCAATGCGTCCAAGTGTAACTCAAAGATATAATTAAAACAGCGGGGTGTTTTAAAATCTAAATGTGGCGATACGGTAAAGACGTAACATTTATTTTCAAAAGTTTTTGTATTTCCCCCACATCGGTTTGGTGTCAGACCACGACACATTAATCAGTTTGGTTATCTTGCACAGCAGTTGCAGATCCTTCGTGTTTGAGAAAGCCCTATGGAAGTGGGTATAACAGAACTACTTCTGAGATCACTTCAAGATAACTCTGGCATTTGTATTCGTTGTGTGACAGTCAAATTCATATTTGGTTAGTTCTCGGAGTTGGGAATAAAATGTTCAACCGAATTCGCGTTTTTTTTTGTGGCGATTGGACTAAAACCATAAATGCACGGATTCATCTGCTGGAGTCTTTGTCTGGATTGGACCCCAGCATCTTAGCCAGTGCCACAGCCCAGCAATTTTGACCTTTGAGCCACCCTGTCACCTCTCCTAACTCAACACAGCAACCTAAGCTCATTCACGAGTGAAGGCGCAACACAAAACTATGGAGCATATTTAATGAACGACTAGCCTGTGCTCATTCAACGGAGGAGGAAAAACAAAACTGCACAAACTCTAACCCCTGATGCCCTCTCGAATCGGAAAACGAAAGATTCAAACATGAAATTTGCTTAAACAAAAAGATTTCCCAGTGCACGTTACAAGTAAAACAAAACGTATTATAACGAACTTAACACATTCAAAAAAGTGCAGGATTCGGTTATTAAAACCCGACAAAGTGTTTAACCCACATTCACAATTGACAGTACTATACCCTAGTTACTAAAAACTTTTTTTCTTCTTCTTTTCTTTAAGTCCCAGCAAATTCCAAAACGAGATCCACTAAATCGCAGTTGCAAGGTCTCCTACAGACACGTGGAGAACTCCCGCGCAATAAACACCGCGCGCTTTGTTGTTATTGTTGTCGAACCTTCGTCACGAAACGCATCGCGCGTTTATTTGTGAGGAAAATAGTGGGTACGTTTAACAAAAAATCATACTATTTTCAATAAAGGATTTAAATAATTAACCTCGACCCCCCCTCCTCCTCCCTCACGAGCTGGGCCGCCCTCTTTGTTGTTGTCGCTGCTGCTGCTACTGCAGCGATGGCGGACAAACCCTTCAAGGCGGAGTACGCTAAGAGCAGCCGCGCTTCGTGCAAAAAATGCGGCGGCAACATTGAGAAAGACTGCCTGCGTCTCGCAGTCATGGTGCAGGTGAGCCTCTTCCACCTCCCCCATGCATTGGGGAAGTTTAATAGTTTTGAAGCGGAATGTTTGTGTTGCGTGGCTTTGCCGTCCCTCCTCCATCTCCCTTCAAATCGTGGCCTAGCGCGCGTTCCCCGAGGGTCGAGTAGCGGTCTCGACTAGTTCGACAGGCCGGGTGAGGGCGACCTTGCTCCCGCATGCCGAGGTCCTCGACAACACGGGGGGCACTCGGGATTTTCGCGACTTTTTTTTTTAATATTGTACTTTTAAGACCGAGTCGATTTACGGAGGAAATGTATAATTTGCGATCATTGAACATCGCACTGGACGCTAATGAACAAAGAACGATGATGCACATCGCGCGTTGAGGCGTGCACCACCACGTGTTTCTCGCAGAGATAACGTTTCTGTTGCATGGTTTTCCCCGATCCGTTATCGGGGACAAAAAGCTTAATATGTCCCGTATTTTTCGTTTCGTTATCTGCTACATTGTAGTGACGTCTTCCACAAGAGATTTGGGTTTTTTTTTTGGGGGGTCGTAAACACAGAGCTGCTAAATAAACATCGGAACATTCCAACGGTGGTGTGTAATGTACTGTAGTTCATTCCAGGTCACCGTGGTCGCGCCATGCTTTGCGCAGTGTGTTTTGTGTGGGGAGGGCTTTTCGTTTTAAATTCCCGCGACAAACTGCATTTGTGCTTTGAGCGGGCTCACCCAAATGAGAGAAACGTAGTGCATCTGCGTGCTGTCTTTGTCCTGTCCACTGCGCGTGTGGGTGCATTGCAGTCTGTATTTCATCGTTATGCTAAGTGGACTGCAACACCACACCCACGAAGCAGGGCGGATCCATTGTCATCAGATGCAGTTGTAGGTCCAGAGAGAGAGGGAGTGCAGCACGCGTCTCTTGCGTTGCTCCAGTGGAAGTTGTTGTGCTTCGTGCATGCCATGTACAGCTGTCTGGGTTTTGTAGAATTTGCACCGTTGCCTGCTTTGAAAGGTGTTATAAAAGCATGCTCCCGTTTGAGAGTTTTGACCCCAATACAAAACTGGGCACGCTCAAGAGTTGACCTAGTTTTTGGATTTTGGGGGGTGGGGGGAGGGGACATACCTGATGCAGTACAGCATTCGATAAGATTCTACTTTTGGGTCAAATGATATGGTTGTATAGTAAATGCTATGTTTTTATCTGCTTCATAGGAATGTGTACGTGCTTTTTGGATGTTGCACTTTGAGAAGAGTTTTGCGAATTGCAGTCTCAGTGTGCATGCATGCTCACTGGTGTTCACAAATTAAACGATCCTGCACATTGGCATGATGAGCAAAACAATATTGCCATGATGGACTATTATATGATGATCCACAGCCTCTTTTGGCCTTTTTTTTGTCCACCTTGATGCTAAATAAATAGGTATGCATCATTCACCAAGAATTGACCATCCCAATTGGATCAGCCGGCGCTTATGAATTTTGCTTGTGATGTTTGTGCCCGCAGTCACCCAGGTTTGACGGCAAGGTGCCACAGTGGCACCATTTCCAGTGCTTTTGGAAGCGCGCGCGGCCTTTGACGCAGGCCGATGTGGACGGCTTCAGCGAGCTGCGCAGCGCTGACCAGGACCGCATCAAGAAGCACATCGAGGGCGGTGCGGATGGTGAAGGTGTGCCAATCGTTCTTCACCAGAGCAGGAACCTTTGCGCTGCAATCAATAATGCGAATCAGCTTCCTTGTGTTTTTTATATATCAGTTGGGCTTCAGAATATATATTTTTTTTAACTTTATATGTAGTAAAACAAAATTTGATTCCATAATTTTAGCAACGTCGTCAAATTTTTTTTGCGGTTTATATATTTAAATTGGGTGTTAAGCACATCTAAAATTGGCCTAAGTTTTGTGGTTTTCAGTCAATGTACGCTCATACTTTTTCTGTACAGTACAGTGACACACATCTAACTCGTTGGCGACTGAGGATACGTGAAAAGTTTGGATATGTGAAGATAGATTAAATGGGCAAGTTATTACTGCCACTGGTCACTACTCTTAACAAGTGAGTATTTACCCTAGCACTGTGGACTTTTTGCTTTTCCAGGGAAAAGCAGTGGCAAAGCAAATGGAGGAGGAGCAGCAGCATCAAACACCCTCCCAGATTTTGTGGTGGAGTACGCCAAGTCCAACCGCAGCAAGTGCAAGGGCTGTGATGACAAGATCGAGAAGGTTTGTGACTCATTGCTCTATTTTTTTTACCACACTGCATCTTGGGATTTAGTTTATAGTGAAGCACTAGTGTTTCGAGCTAACTGGTGCTGTGAATGTACTTCAATGTTACCTGTAACAAGTTGCATTTTACATCACTTGAAGGTTCGCATTAACAGCCTTTTCTGCCACTCAAATGTCCAGGACGACGTGCGTATCTCACGGAAGATGATCAACATTGAGAAGCCGCACCTGGGCATGATTGACCACTGGTACCACACCAACTGTTTCGTGGAACATCGCGATCAGCTGGGCTTCCTTTCGACGTACGGCGCAAATCAGATCGGTGGCTTCACTCGGCTCAACGCCAATGACAAGAAGGCTGTCGAGGCCCTGCTTGGCACTGTTGTCGTCGTCGTCGATGGGTAAGCATGCACATCCAGTGTTGCTGGGTGCTGGTGAGTGCCCTGTGATTGGTGAGGTAAGGATCACTGAGTGGACAGCTTGCTCAGAATTAATGGTTCACTTGTTACAGCCACCAGGTAAATTCTGCAGGGAATGATCAAATGTGCTTTCTACAAAAAAAAATAAATTAAAGGGAGTGCGGCGTTTGTAAAAAAAAAAAATTGTCAACACCGTAACAAATAAATGTTTGTAAAATATGCATCCCAAATCATATTTACAAAACTTAATGTTTAGGTTTTAGGTGTGTTTTTGGGTTGTACCGTGTGTTTGGCATGATTTCAAACATTTCGCTGCAGGTGTTGCGTGCTTCGTCAGGAACTGAAACATCAGACGTTCTGAGCAAACACCCGAACAGAATATCGTAGAGCTATAAAAACAACTGCGAAAACTGACACAGTCGTAAAACTTACATGTTTTACATTTAATCAACGGACTTCACGTCTCCTTTAAAATATTATTTTGATTAGGTTTCCATATGGTTAAAGAAATTGATTGACAGTTCTGACTGCTCTTGCTGAGTCTTGTAGAGTGTGTCATTTGCAGGTAGGTCAAAATGATAGGGTATATGGGACTTGTGTAAGTAATATAGTGGGTTGCCACTGGGTGGGACTGACCCACTATATTCATAGCCTTTATCCTTTGCTGTTTTTATGGCACTCATGACCTGTGTACAGCTCGCGAATGGTATAAACAGCAATCTTAAGCACACCTGATAAGGTCTGTTGGTGGTTCTACAGACCTCTTCATGGTGGGGTAATCCTGTGTTTACTTGTGGCCCACCTGGACTTCGGAGCGCACAGCCTGTGCACACACCAAGAAGTCCACCAGTGTTGCTATCTTCGAAATCAATCTTAAAGCTTAGCTTTTCGTTCTGGCTTTACCAGAGTAATTCTTATTTCATTGTAGAAGGATTTTTCAGAATCAATAAATCAGAATTTGTATTTATCCCAGAGGAATCTGATGAGCTATGAAGCTCTTTTTCACAGATGTCCAGTAGATACGGGTCGGCAAGTAATTGTTTTGCACAGTTCTGTTCATATAATTATTTGCAATTTTTCGTCGGTCAGATGCCCCCAAGAATGGGATGCAAATGTGGAGTGCGGTATCAGGTTACATGACTATTATTGACTGTCGTTAACATCGTGAGCAACTCTCTTCAACCGCACGTTTTCCTGCTGCCAATCGGCACACGTTACGTTATGCTATCACTGCAATTAAGAGTGCACCCATTGCCTTGAGCGATGGTTTGGCAGCTCGTTAATATTACAGCAGAGTTCATGCTCTTGAGAGTCATTAATTTATTTAAAAAATGTTGATTAAGCCAAGAGGCTGCATGTTTTTGTAGTTTAACAAGTGTACATACAGACTCGTAATATTGCTGAGTTCCAAAACAATGCATAATTAGTTTTTATACAATGTCGATTTTGTATTGAACAGAGTTCTGTTATGTGGACAGAGTGTTTTTACCCATTTATGATAAGCAGAAACCAGCAGTGTTTGTTTACCAAGCCTCACTCTTCTGGTGAGGCCCAAAATGTGGTTGTTGAAACAGCCCGCTGGATAAACATTTTCAGGGAAAGCATGCCGGACTAAAAATATATTTTATTTTAATGTGGACATGAAGAATATATATTAGTAATAAGTAAGTCACAGATCGGGTAGCTTTCCGACACGGAAGTTTATTATATGATGCTTTTGGAATGTGTGGACATTTTTTGTATGTGTTTTACAAAGTTATTGCTTAAAAAACATATTTTAACACTCGACTATTGATACTGATTGCACAGGTAAGGTTTGAATGCACTCTTGTATTCATGGCAGTAAACGTATCAGCATTTGATAATAGGTTTTTCCCCTTTTTTCTGTCAACAAAACAGGTGTAAAAGTGTTAAAACACGAAACTCAAACCTTTTACGAGGAATCATGTGAGCATTAACCACAATACTTGTGGTCAGAATGCAAAAAAAACATACTCTGACAATAAAAATAAAACATCATAAAATATTTCTCACGACGTTTCAGCCACAACGCAAGCAGCCGTCCTCAGGTGAAAACCAGGTCTGTCGAGGCGACAGCGTCTGAGGCGACAGCGTCTGAATGACGCTGTCGCCTCGACAGACCTGGTTTTCACCTGAGGACGGCTGCTTGCGTTGTGGCCGAAACGTCGTGAGAATTATTTTATTATGTTTTATTTTTATTATTGTATTACTTCCCTTCTACGTGACTTTACCGAAAGAACTAAGAGGATGAATCCCTGCAGTCACGAAAGCTTTAAATCGAAAAATACTCTGACAATATATGCATTGTCCTTGAAACTGATTGGTCCACACCAGAGACAGTTTTTTTTTTAACCTCTCAAACGGTGTTAGACCAGGACAATGCATATATTATCAGAGTATATTTTTTGTTTGCATTCTGACCACAAGCATTGTGGTTAATGCAGACATGATTCCTCTTGAAAGGTTTCAGTTTGGTGTTTTAACATCTTAACACCTGTTTTGTTGCCATAAAAAAGGGGAAAAACCTATTATCATTCTTTGGTACTGGCAAAGGAGGTCCCATGATGTATCAGCATTACTATAATGGTGTCCAGTACATCATCACAAATAAATAAATAAATATAAATAATCAATACAATAATTTGATATACAGTGCTTATACATATTTTAAAGAGGTCTAACACACATGCATGTTGTGTCATGTGGTGTGCCGTAGCAATTATTTTGTAATTTGACCTTTAATCTGTTATGTGTATGTGAAAGGCATGAGGATTATCTGCTTGCCCATTCCCTTGAATTATGCTGGCTGTACAAACTGGCTAGTCCGGCTCATTTTACCGATGTTCATTTGTGCATTTCTTTTTTAATGAAACAGCTACAGAATAAGCTTTGTGTTCACTGGCAAAAGCAGGTTGCTGAGAGAGGTGAAAGTTATTTAGGTTTTCAGGGTTGAGGCTGATAACACTGTGTAACAAAAAATGTTGTTTCCGGGTAGTAAGTGTTATTTCCTAATTGCTTATGCATTAAAAATACAGAAATTGGCTATTATTCCCCACAAACTTTGCTTTTGTGACCAGGACAGTGATATTTTAAAATTTAGCTTTTTTCAATGAGAAAACGGACGAATTTATGTCTTTTCGTTCACATAAAGTCAGAAAAAATCAACATATGAATCAAAATTAACATGTATTTATACTTAAGTAATAAAAAAATGATTACAAAAGATTTAGACACCAAGGCGCATTACCACAGGCGGGACTAGCCACAGCAGACCGAGTTCTCTGTGGGGAGGAACAACGTCAAGTGGGAGCCACTGGTGGACCCCCGGAAGATCCTGATGCCACCACTGCACATCAAATTGGGCCTTATGAAACAATTTGTCAGAGCTGTAACTAAGGAGTCGGCAGCCTTCAAATACCTTCAAGACTTCATCCCTAAACTGTCTGAGGCAAAGGTCAAAGCCGGTGTCTTCGTCGGACCACAGGTAAAGAAGATCCTGGAGTGCAATGAATTCCCCAAGAAGCTCACTAGTAACAAGTAAACCCGTAAAATCCTTTATATGCGTGGTGGCTAGAGTTCTCTCGTCCTCTGGCTTGAGATGGCTGCAATCTATGGGTCAGATGATTGTCTGCCAGTATTAAGCAATTGGTAATTAAATATTTAATTTGTTTTCCCTAAACAGTGTAAAATTTTGGGAAAAAAATTTCACGAAAATTAATTGTCACACACAACGAGTCTGTGTGGAAAATGTCAGCTCGATTGGATCACGGGAAGTGGGTTAAAAAACGACCGAAAGATTTGCACGGTCCTAAGCAAGCAAGCAAGCACGCAAGCACGCAAACTTAATATAAAGGATTTAAAAAGAACACGGTTTGGAACAGCTTTGTCGCAGTGGTTGGTGGTTTCCTGGGCAATCACAAGGTCGAAAACTATGTGGAGCTGGTTGAGACTGGTGAAGAACTACTGCACGATGGGCTGTAGGATGTCCCTCATATATCCTTGATGTTCATCTTGATAAATTCAAGTAGAACATGTGAGCGTTTTCGGAGGAGCAAGGCGAGCGCTTCCACCTGGATATACTGTACTGGACTTTGAACGCCGCTAACATGAACAGTATAACGAGAACATGATGGCAGACTAAATTTGGGGTCTGATTCGTGAAAGTGATTTACAGTATAATCGTAAATCTCGAAAAACTACTCACTTCTAAATCTTTTGTAGTAATTTTTGTAATTTAGTATAAATACATGTTAATTTTGATTCATATGTAGTTTTTTTTTTACTTTATGTGTACAAAAAAACATATTTGCCCGTTTTCTCATTGAAAATAGGTCAATTTCAAAATATCGCTGTCCTGGTCACAAAAGCAAAGTTTGTGGGGAATGATGACCATTTTATATTCTTTTGAGGCATAAACAATTAGGAAATAACACTTACTACCCAGGAACAAAAGTTGTGTTACGTAGTGTAACTATGGACAAATTTTGTCCACATTTACAATGGGAAAATCCCATTCCACCTCCGCCTAAGCTTCAATATTACATACTGTGAAGTAAACTCTTCTCTGAGTTGGTGACTCACAATATTGGCTTTGGAGCTCACAAGCTTATCTGTGATTATGCTTTGCTGGCTCCAAGTTTGCCTGTGAGGAGGCTTAATGCCACGCTACCCTGGGTTGCCCTGCAGCACCATGTTGGGCAGGTTGGTGCGTGAAGTCTCTATGCCCACGATGGTGCTGGGAACCTGCGTGTCATCGTCGGTTTCCCTCGCGCCCCGGCACATAATGAGCGACAGGAAAGCACGACGGTACGACTTCATGCGATAGGCGTACAGGAAGGGATTGACCACTGAGTTGGCATGCGAGAGAATGATGGCGGCGAGAAGCAGGCCGTACGGCGTGTTGCTGCCTGGGCATAATAGGCTGATGCAGTTGAGGACGTGGAGGGGAATCCAGCAGACTGTGAAGAGGAAGAGCACCAGGAAGAGCGAGGTCGCTGTTTTGACCTCCTTCGTCAGCGACTGCATGCTGCGTTCCTGGCAATGAAATCGACTGTTAGGGGCATGTGTGTTGGCATCACAGGAGCGGCTCCTGTGCGGCCAACACACATGGTTATCAACGAAGTTTGGCTCTTTTCGCTTAGCTCCGTGGCATTTTTGGAATTCGTTTTGACTTTGAGAGTATTTCTGATAGCACCCTTTTCAGATGATCGGACAGTCATAAATAAGTGAAAAAATACCTTAAACTTTAGTGTTTTAACACAACATTGAAACTTCCCTTCTTTTTATGGTGATGTGTTGGATCCAAATTTCAGATCCTATCATCTACACCCATCCACGAAAATATCTTCTTATAGCTTCTCAATTAGCCATGGATAAACGTGGAATTATATTACTTTCCCACCATGTCTAGGTAAGTCTTCTTCTCAACAACAAGGCTTGTATAATGTGAGTTTAGTCTTTTGGAAGACAATTTCTGGGTGCCTCTTTGTAGATAAACATGGATGTTAATGAACATTTTTTTTTTACTCCTCTTTTCCGTGAGGAAATTGTAGTACAGTATTCCCTCCTTATTCGCGAGGGATACATTCTGGAGATGCTGAATAGCACATTTCGCGCATAATGATACATTTTTATGAATTACCTTAAATAAATACATAAATAAGCTATTAAATAATGGAAATGATCATAATAACACAAACAAATTGGTTATAATAAAGTAAAAACTAAAGTATTAATAGTGTTATAAGTTAACTACCTTAAATTATGTTGATGCTGCGCATCATAACGTTATCTCATCACTTTCTCACATTCAATTCTCTCTCGTCACTTTCTCTCTCTCTGGGTGCAGTCGTGCAGAGTTCCAGATGCGATTCGCGAATAGACAACATTTCGGATAGGAAGTTCGTGAATAATGAGGGAATACTGGAATAGAATTAGTGTAGTGTTTCTGGTAGTCAACTTCCAAGTGGCTCCTTTATCTACGTATGAACACAGATAATAAGAATCCATCTCTGGCTAACAAGAGTTCCTGTAGATCAATTGTGGCTATGAGTAAGAGTTATAGGGCAGTATAGGTCTATGGATTATAGGAGGTTCACTGTATTAGTAATATCAAAGTTATTAAAATGTAATATTGATAATATAAAGTAATTTCACTGCCGATTGAATTATTTCATTAACTGCTGGATGATGCCTCTCCATGCTGTGTTGGTCATCGTTTTTTTTACCATACTTTACCATTCTGGTTAGTGTGAGTTAGTGGAGGGAGGTGGGCTAAGACCAGTTCAGATATCGCTCGCTACAGAGCTAACCATGACTGGGAATCGAACTCGGGTCGCCTGGTTTATAGCTTGATACATTATCTGCCTCTTTTCCATATAGGACGACATGCAATTGTAACGAGCAATAACAAGGCTGGAGAAGGAGAGAAAATGTACTCTTAAGCCTGCCAAGTAACTTTGCAGTCATGTAGCTTGATACTGAGCTAATTGAGAAGCGAGTAATCGGTTTTGATTTCGCGTGATGGTGAAAAATACCAAACGAGAATTTCACGTGTGGAAAAAATCAATTGTATAATGTAATAATGGTTGCCCATTTGTTTTTCCGCTGTCTCCCTCCAAAAAGAGTTTATGGATTACAGTCAGCTGTCACCAGCCTAAATGATAATATTGTCTTCTATTTACCTAGGAATGCTTCACTTTAGTCCCGTGACTTTTTCAGGAGGGTCCTACATCAGTATGTATTTCGCCTATTCAATTCAATTAGTGTTTGAGGTGGGAGTAAACTGGAGCACCTGAGGAAAATAAAACCCACACATACGAGGGGGTAACTCTCTTAATTGCCGTACTGCTGTCTTGCAGCCGTCTCGCGGCCTTGCAGGCACCATTAAATCTGTACGACTGCTTACACAAGCTGCTATACCGACACGTAAAAAACAAAAAACACCAGCGCGCTACTGAATCGCAACGCTCATTGCTGCCGACGATTGCTTACCTGGGCATTGCCGGCGCCGCCCCTGGCCTCGTTGGCGATGCGACGCAGCTGGTACCGCACTTGCAGGAAGATGCGCGCGTAGATGACGAACATGATGAGCAGAGGCGTGAGCACGCAGCCAAAGAAGTTGAAGTACACCATGTAGTTCATATCAACGACGGCCACGAAGTAGCAGTAGCTGTCGCTGGGCGCACCCTTGTGCCAGCCCATGGCCGGCACCAGGCCGATGAGGAAGGCCACGAGCCAGGTGAGCACGATGGTGATTAGAGCGTTGCGGTGCGTCATTATCACCTACGGGAGGAAGAGGGCGAAGGGTGGCGGTTGTGCAAGATGAGACAGCGCGCGCCCTCGTACGTAAATGTGGAGGGAGCTGCCTTTTAAGCAGCCGTCGTCGTCTAGAAATGATTTGTATTTTCCTGTTGGGTTATTTCCAAAGCATACCTTAATGTTTGACTGGTGCTGATTTGATTGCTTACATTTTTAGCACTGCGTGGGGTTCGCAAAGCACGTTTGTGCTGTACAGCAGACGGTAACAACCCTGGAAAATGGTTCGCAAGGGTTACCCATAGCATGCTGGTGTTATAACACTCATTCCAAATTTTTCTTGTTAATAATTTTTTTTTACTGCGGCTACTGCTGCTTATCAACTGAAATGGAGATTATAAATGCCTATGAGGTCACACACCCTGTTAACCCTTTCCCATTCCGAGACGACTTCAAGTTGCAGGGTGGGTCCCATTCACCGGTGAATCTCGGAACGTGCAAGCGGTTAGCGTTAATTTTATTTAGAGAGGCGTAGCGCAGTTGTTTTAAAGATGTACTCACCACAGAACTGTAGCAACATGACCACACTTTATGATAGCTGGCGCCAAACTGTGCCACATGCCCTTCGCATGGCCTTGTGGGAGCCTCGGTACCGATTAAGTTATTTTATATTTTCTTCCGATCAGTATCGGAAGAAAAACTGATGACGTACATGTACGACATCATGTACGTCATCAGAACGGGAAAGGACTAACTGGCCACATGTTCTGTGATAAAATATTATTGATATGTAAAATAAGACTTGACGCCGACAATGCCGATCGCTGCACGCTCACCTTGTATCGAAACGGGCTGAAAATGGCCACGTATCTATCGACGGCAACAGCCAGCAGGCTGAAGATGGAGCTCTGCGTGAGCATGATGAGCACAGACAGCATGAGCACGCACAGCAGGAAGTTGTGGCGCGGGAGGCCCAGGTCCGTCATGATGGCGCAGGGGATGGCAACAGCACCCACGCACACGTCGGCCACCGCCAGTGACACCAAGAAGTAGTTGGTGACCGTGCGTAGGCGGCGGTTCTTCATTACGGCGACGCACACCAGCAAGTTGCCGACCGACGACAGCAGCGCGATGACGAGCTCCAACAGGATATACGGCACATTGAGAGAGACCTGGCTCGGGCTTTCCGCCTCGATCGGCAGCGTAGTGTTATTGGCGCTCATTTTTACTTCCCAGAGGGTTCTTGGCCACAAGCTGCACCTCACCCGGAGGGTCTTCTGACGGCGGTTCCTCACAGCCGAGTAGCCTTGCTCGTTTTACGGTTTTGAGTTGACGGCTGAGAGCTCGTTCCTAGTCCGTGTTCGACTGTCACATAAGTTGATGAGTGTGGAAAATGCCGCTTCAGCGAGTTGACGCTTCCTCAGGGCAGCAAGATTCTGGAAGCGAATCATCACTACCATTAATAATTCATATGAACATACGTGATGCTTGCGTTAACATATGCACGTTTATTGCTCTTGTTTGCCTTGCCATGGCTAGTGAGCACAGCTGAAGTGTTCCGGGCTTCTTACAGTGTTTGAGTCTTTACCATTCACGGTGTTTTATTCCCCCCACCCCCCCCTCCCCAAATGTTGAACTCTTGCGTTAGCAAAACGCGAGTGATGTGAGCCGTATTTGGTTGCCTGTGCTTATGTACCTTCGTGTTGCAGCGGTCACGTGGGTGATTGTTTGACTTGTGTTTCAGGCGTGTGCATGCCCGCCAGTGTTTGTGGAGGAGTGTCATCGCCATCCATCAGTACCTCTTTTCACAGTGTCAGTGATCCTACATGCCAATATTGTTGTCCCTATGTCCAATTTCCTGCCCCCTCCTCTTCTCACCTGCCTCCATGTGCTGCTAGTTTTCCATGTGTTTACGGCCAAGCCTGTTGACTGTTGCCTGCGCGCCTGTGTCTTGTCTAGTTGGCCTGCAACGCAAACCAACTTCGGCTAATGCCACCAGAATGCTTCTGCCCCGTCCACACCCTTGACTGGCAGAGCATGTTGTAAGTGCAGCTAGCGCACTCAACTGTCTTTTTATGATTATGTAAACAACTGCGTCCGTGTGGTGCACACACATGTATATAGTTCATGGCAGCAGTAAAACGGCAGTGAATTCTGCTTGACAGCGGTTTACCTACTTTTTCCAGAATTTCCTTCCATGTCAACGTCCTGGGACAATTTCACAAATGTGCTACATTAGTGGCACTCGGAACGAATATATCCAGAGTATGAATGGGTTTTGATATTTATCTACAACAACGGGTATATTACATTTGAAAAATGCTGAGCTGATGGGCTCAACTGTGCTCATCTCCAATTTACAGCTCTGCGTAAGTTGTGGAAATTCCATGTTCCTAGAATGGGGTCAAGGCTTCACAGAAGAAAACCGCCATTATCTTCCCACAAAGTGGCCCTCTATTTACCCTGGAGGGCTGATAAAGGGACAAGGGTAAGGGCTGAGTTTAGGTACAGCATAATTTATTTTGACGTTCGTGAAACGGGCGCGAATAGGTTCAACCGGTTATCCATGTGACCAGTGTGTGAGATTGCACAGTGCTGCCCTAAAACGCACAGCAGAGATGGAGCCAGGTCTATTTCCCCAGATTAAACAAACTAGACCCTGCGGTCAGGTATAAGGACAAAAGCACAGGCAGAATAGGTGGGGATCACGGTGGGGTGGTTGTCCTTGCAATGACTGACATTTATTTATTTCACAAGCCAGGGTGCTGTTTGTAAAAACTTGAAACGTAAATTGTTATCCCGTCTTGCGGTGGCATACCACGATCGCGGCAACCCCAGAGCCGTGGTAAAGCCACGAAAGCTTCAAGCTCCAATTTTCGTGGCAAGAAGCACCCTGGATTGTAAAATATAATGATTCAGCCTCTTGCAAGTTGATGATTTGTCACGATTTGGAATGACATAAGCGGGAATCACATTTTTTTCTTTAGATTGTGGTGAAGGGAATGCCTCCAGTGGCTGCTGCAAGATCATATAAACCTGTTAGAACATAAAAAAATAACCAGTTATAACAAGTATTAGTAAATGCATGTATTGTGAGCATTAAAAAAAACGATTTTAGGTGGGTTTATTGTTACATGCTTAGTTCCAACTTTCCACGGGAGGGTATGTTGTCTTGGCTCCATAGAGGTGAATAATTTGCACCAGTAGTCCAGCTAGCTTGCACATATCACTTGTCTGAAACTTTGTGTGTCTTTTTGACACGTAGGCTTTCACGACCAATATTATTCATAAAGGTTTTTTGGGTGAAATCCCGTAAGTATATATGCGTCGTTAAGCCGACACCACGTGACACAACCAATTAATGAGGTTTGTCACGTAAACAAAACATGCCAATTAGTTACTTCAGCCTGCCGGTGTGTTGGAAAATAATTTCATAACATTTACAACTTGCGTAGGACGTTTCGCTGGTAAGTACATTTGACATAGGGCGATTTTGCCAGAATTGCGATCTAACCCAAAAAAACCTTCATTGTGAATTTTGTATGCCTATTGATTCCAAAGATTAAGAAATCTGTACTCTGCTCCCACTCTGGACTGAATAGATTTGTTAGAGCAAGTGCTGTTGATGAATGCCGACTAATACTGGCTTGGCACAGCTCTTTGTACGTGCGAAGTGCCAACTCTTACTTTTAGAAGTTATTTACTCTCGGATGAAGGTCTCTCGCTCATGCGGGTCGCCATCTCTCGTGTTTCTGCAATATCATCCATTGCGTTCCTGCAGAGGAGCTGATCTTATTGCTCCATGTACAGAGTGGTCGTTTCAACGTACGCCTTCTCTCCTTTATCTGCCATTCCACCACCTATCTCACCCCACAAGCCATCGTTCTTTCTAGCGACATGTGCTGCCCGAGGCGGCCTTTCATCGACGGTCATTATGGTGTCTCCGAAGTGCATTTGGCATTGCATATAATTGCCTTTTATTGTGTTCGCAGTGCCTCTGTGAAACTTAAATATTGGAAGCAGTGAATAAAAAAAAAACCCCTGAGCTTCCCCTGAGGTCTTTCTAAGCCATATGTTTTTCTGCACAGTATGACATATTTGCAGTTGTCTTAGAATCTAATTAACAGTTGTTAGCTTTATTATTAACTTGGCACCCCCACATCCCATGGTGCCTGTAAATGTTATGGTAACCCGAGATTCCCTTGCCTGGGGCTGTTGTGTTTAGCAGTGTGTGCGTACGCTACCACATTAGGTGCACAGACACTGCGTGTATGTGGGTGTCTGTACAATATTATTTTGATATTTCTACGAGACACCCACAGATTTTGTGCCCCTGGTCAAATTTGAACAGATGTTGAATATGGTTTGCCATTGCAATGTATAACGTGGCCACAGTAATTAATGACTGCTATTTTGCTCATGTGAGTATGGAAACACTGCTTGCAGCCCTGAACCAGTGGTGGAAATTGCACATTGCTATGGCAGAGACGAGTCTCTCTTTAGAATTTACAATCGCACGGCCAATCAGTAAGTAGAAGTAACTAATTGGCGTTTTGTTAACGTGACACATTTATTACTTAAAGCCGTGTCGGGTGGTGGAGGGTTGCGACACATTTATACTTACGCGATCTAACCCAAAAACCTTTAATATAAAGAATGTGTTTTTGTTGGCTTAGGTGGTTGATCTGCTGGGATGTTAATTAGTGGCTGTTATTTCAATAAGTTGTTTGCTTAAGCTATTGATAATCTCTGTGATTAAATTACCAAAATGTTGCCAAGTGTACATTTGACAATTTACGAGCGGTCATTGCATTCCCACGTCACAAGTAACATACAAAAGTTTTAAATTGCCCACGACTAAATTGGGGGAAAAAGGTCAAAATGTCCACACATTTCCACAAAACATGAGGTTTACTCTTGAAACGAAACCATGAATCTCAATCGTTTCTCACCTGGTTAAATATGGGACGTTGACTATAAGAGCTCAGCCTTGTTTTTTTGTTATTTATATTTATGTTCTGAGTTACGCTAGCTGACAAAGAACATCCCGGCGGATGACACTGACAATTGTTTACCTTGGTGCAGGCCTGGTCCCTTCCTCGAGATGTGCCGGGCGTGGTGCTGCCTTTTCTTATCACCGTTTAAGTTTCACTGGTACCGCCAACACAGCCGACACCACCGTGTCACTGCCAGTAAAGAGAGAGTTAGCTCCTCGGCTCCCAGAATTCCTCTGTGCGGGGGTGGCCGTGTGGTTGCGACTTTGAGTTGCCGCTTCCACCATCGTGGACACACGATGGCGATTGCCGGCGACACGCGAATGGGCCAGGGTCGCCCTAATTGTGCCACTCGGGATGAGATTCGGTGACACGGGGGTTTGACCAAAGTTGTCGAGTGGTATTGGGTGGGGAACAAACACCACTGCTAATTATTTTAACATAATCCCTTCTGACAGCACGGACCTCCCTAATTTTCAGTCTGCGATATGCACATGAGGTGTGGAGATGAATGCCCAGAGACAAGCCATGCTTACGAGGCGACGACATACAAAACCCGGCATGAATAGGTCCGCAACCTTATTGATGTACTGCCTAATAGAGGCACATTGCTGCCTAGCAAGCAGATGTCACACTCATGTGATGGTTCCATGTCAACAAATGTGCACATTTGAAAGGAAGCAAGATACAAATTCGACTGGTTTGAGCACAGAGGAGGGTTAAGCGTTAGCAGCAAACGGCGGTTGCATGTCTAGTGTCTGTATTTCCTTCTCAGAGGCAAAACACTTCAACCGTTTTCAAATCGTCCCACGCACCCAGAGGGGCCATTGAGTCTCTCAGGAAATGTTTATCCTTGGAGGGCTCTTGCATGATCCTAAATAAAAAATGATTTAATTAGCTCATTCTTTTAGCTTCCAGCCTTCGATGAGTTATTAGAATTGTATTTGCGTGGCGGTGAAGTGAAAGTGATGCTGTTATAAATGCCCAATTCTTTAAGCGCCAATGCCTGATACAGGATCCATGCAGGAGCACCTTCTGTTATTTAGAGCAATTACGTTAACAGTTGCGGAGGCTTAGGCCTCCCTTAAAAACAAGAGACTTGTCTCAGTCAATTGTTCCCGAGTAAATGAAGGCAAGTGACTCATTATTCTCACTTTGTCTTGCAACCTTATGCTTTGATGTTACACAGTGGTATAGAGTCCACATTCCAACGTCTTACCCTTATTGCCCAAATTCATGTCAACTATACTTTCGCTTGGAAAATCATATTTGCACAAGTGCCAAGGAGTTCCTACAGCATTCAACAATTCCCTTAACATAAGTGCAACGTGTATTAGTATAGATTCTTGAACAAAAAATACATGCGATAAATTGCGTGTGTAAGAATTTATGTTTTTCAATCTTCTCTACATTGTATGTTATGCCCTCCCTTGACCCCTACAGCCAGTAGTTGCTGCAACATTCATCACGGTGTAAAAAAATAATCAATTCCATATCGAGTTGTGGCCTTGGATTTCCAGAGTCAATCTTAACACGTCCCAAAATATACAGTAAATAAAATTAATGTGGAACTTTTGTTGCCTTCTTGCAGAAAACGTAAAGCAGAGGATCAGGTAGATGAGGTGGCCAAGAAGATCAAGTTGGAGTCCATGAAACAGAAGGAAGAGGAAGATAAGATGCTAAAGGTGGGCATGTGCTTGTCTGTACGTATGCATGTCTGCTTCCGTATGTGTGCATCAGTGCTTTCCCAGTTGCCTCGCCGTATGCTTGTGTGCCCTGTTTGTACGTACGTCAGTGCATTTCTATGTGGATGTGTGTGGTTGAGTGTTTGGCTGTGCTTGGTGTTGTGGAGCAGCGTTCCGTTGTTACTACACTGAAGTATGAAGCTGTTCCGTTGTTAGCACACTGAAGTATGAAGCTGGTGACCTGGTTTCACTTCCCAGACACGGATAACACCAGCGGAAAGTCAAAACCAGTCGTTAGGCCTCCCCTCTGTTGATTCAGCTGTAAATTAGTATTTGATACTGTGTCTTAAAAATCAGTACTTGGGCAGGCAGAGGTGGCCGGGAATGGTTGTGCACCACACCACTACCCCATTGTGTGTTGTGCTGCACTTGCCACAGCAGTTTTTTATGGCTATACGTGGAATGTGTCTTTTTTTGTGTGTATGGGGCAGTTAACGACGTGTTTGCCAGCTGTGCTATGATCCCTGTGACCCGGGTGTAATTCGCAATTGTTTTGAAGTAACGCCAGTGGCAATTGTTAATTCAACCTAGGCTGGCCTGCGGCTAGATTGACTCAGGCTAAAATGAGTGCCAGGTGCAATGTGTCAACAATCACTGGGGACGTCGGCACAAACACAGACCACGGCACCCACTCCATGCTGTGCACCAGGTGTAATAGAAACTCGCCAATAGCACTTGCTTCAACAGTCTCTAGCATTGAGTCAGGGCATCTGTGCGATTGCTTTATTAAAGTAACTCGCCATAACTGAGATTGTGTGCGTTTTTATTGCAAACTTAGTTTTCCTTGTTTTAAAATACAAAATCAACGAGGATTCTCGATGCAATGTGATGATTTTTGTTGTCTTGAAGCATTGTGGGTCCTTGTGAAAATCTATGTTTATTTGTATACCGCTTGCCTCTGTTTATGAAAATCAGTGGGAGGTTCAATAACATTTTGAGGAGGCAGCCCCAACAGTTTTAATTTATTTCAAACCAGCCATGGGAATCCATAATACAGATTTTTTGGGTTAGATCGCGTAAATATATAAATGTTGTTAAAGCCACCATAAACAGCACACCGATGTGTTGGAGAGCAAAGCCACAACATTTACAATTCGAGTACGACGTTTCGCCAGTAATTACGACTAGCTTCATCAGGCGACAGCCAGATTTATGGAGAAATTCTGTGGAAATAACCCAGCCATGGGAAACTTTTCTTTACTGATGTCCAAAGAGGATTCTAGATTTGAAGTTTGTCCAAAGAGGACTTTTAATTACCTATGACAAGCCATACATTAATACTCTCACCTCGGTCACTTTTGTCACTGCGAGTGGTCCTGCAGTGACTGAGCACGCTAAAATGGGAAACGCATTGTTACTAGGTCACAAATATTCCCCTCTGGTACCCGATTAGTGCAGCTAAAATGCTTTCAGTGATAAATAAATGTCGTTATGAAGTCGCTTCGCTGCGGGCCGTATGAAATGTCACGGGCCGGATGTGACTCAGCTGCTGTAGGTTCTTCAACCCTGCTCTTTCCCATGCCACGGTTCTGCCTGAAATTGCAACGGCCGCAAGTGTGGCAGCTTTTCATCCTTGACGGGAGAGCCTATTCACAACGCTGAATTTGCTGCGCTTTTGGTCCTGAGCATCGGTGCTCCCCCCCCCTCGCCTTCACCTTCCCCAGCCGCCTCCTCACCTTCCACCCTTCCCTTGCGGCCATAATTGGCGGGACCGAGATTATCCCGAGCCATCTAGAACGCACAAATGAGGCGCGGCGTCCCTTAATCCAGCTCGTTAGTTGCATGTGACTGTGGTGCTGGATGTAGCTGGAGGGCCCCACAGTGCAGGTAATTAATGCGCCGGTTTGCGGGGTAGGTGGCTGCGTTATTAATAGGCTTCCCCACGGTGAATGTGCACGTCGTTTAAACAACACCCCCTGTGCAAGGCCTTGTTTGCAGAAAGAGGTGTCAAGCGTACGGTCACAGCTGTTTTGACGCGTGGCTATTAAGTGCAATGAATGTGTGGAATTCTAATTGTTTATTTAATTAGTAGAGCCAAATAATGAGGTTGTTTTTGTTATTGCCAAATGGGAGTTGAAAATAAATTCGTTGTCATACGGCTCGTCTTGTACATTCATATCTTGGATTGTACACACGTCACCTGTCTGCTACATAGGTATCTCATCTTGTACACAAGTAACCTGTATTGTACATACGTATCTCATTTTGTACGCATGTAACGTCCTGTATTGTACATACGTATCTTGATTGTGTGTCCTAGCTTGTCGAATGTGGCTTTGAGGCTTCCTTGACAAGGAAAATTTTAAAAAACAGGGTTTAGGTGCGCTCTGCTGATTTCACTGTTGCATCACTCTCGTACTTTTGAATACAACACCACTGCAGTGTACTCTTAGGTTTTTTCGGTAAAGTCACGTAGGTAAAAAATACAATTAATAGAAACAAAATAAAATAATAAATCACGACGTTTCGGAGGCAACACAAGTCTCCGTCATCAGGTGGGACCGTCACAGCTAAATTTACTGTATCAAGTGGTTTCACTAGAATGTTCCCAAAATATGTTTTTTTCATTATCAAACCTTCACATGGAATCTACAAGATAATCTCTATAATTTCAACAATATATATATGATTTCCTCTTAAGTGCATATTGCCTGTTCATGCCCCAACAGAAGCAGAGCAATGTTATCTGGAGCTTCAAGGATGGCTTGAAGAGTTGCAGCGATGAGATTGACCTCAAGGAGCTGCTGATTGCCAACAAACAGGCCGTGCCATCCGGCGAGTCTGCGGTAAGGCCCGCGGCGAATGCCCCGAAGTAAGAAATTCAACGGCTGATCTGAAAATCGGCGAACCACAAAATGAGTTTTGAAGGACCACAGGTTGTAAGGAGAAATGTAATGTTTGGGGGATAAGGTTTGGATTATGGCCGATAAGATTTTACTGATGGACCACGGCATTTTTGCAGAGAAGCAAGTGTTGGGCACGATTGAGCCTCCCTCTACAAAAAAGGGGTGGACACCGATGCTTTTTGTTTTGTTTATTACAACTCAACGCAACCCCGGTACAATACGCCGATCATTAAACGGTGGTGGCGGTGGGGGGGTGAATAGAAACTCTGTGAAGAGCAACCTGATTTTGGCGCGACAGGATCCAATGTAGGGGGAATAATTGGGTTCGCTTCATCACCCAAGTGGGGACCATGTGTGGGGGCATGAAGATTTATATTGAGGAGGGGTAAGGGGGAAGTTAACTAACATACTGGGGGGACAGGTGGAGGGAGGAGGGGGGGGGGGGCAGATGACTTTGTTAATATTACACTTGACATTATGATGATGATGCCATATATCCCAGAACATCCCACCAATACTCTTTCAAAAATATCCTGCATTGGGATCTTTGGCCAATGTGTTTTTTGAGAGGAGAAAACTTAAAAGCAGATGGCGGTGAGACCGTGAGAGCAGTCCTTGAAGGACGTATCAACTATGTAACAAGGGGGAGACTGAAACCCAAATGTTGGTGCTCATGAGACTGTAAGAGCTGCTGTGAGATGTCCAGGATTGTCTTCATAACAGCTGCGAGATCTGGCAGAAGCAATTATAAGGAGTGATTGGATCAGCAGTTTTTTGCTGTTGGCCACTTAACCTTGTGAGTGTGGGATCCAATCCGTACTTGATTGCAGTTGTTAATGTATAAACGGGCTTTTGTTTGTCTTTCCGTTCCCCTGTGTGTTGCTACCAGGTGCTGGAGCGCCTGGCTGACGGAATGGCGTTCGGTGCGCTTCTGCCATGTGCAGAGTGTAAGGACGGGCAGCTCGTGTGCATGAGTGACGCTTACCGCTGCACGGGGAACATCTCCGGCTGGACCAAGTGCACATTCAGCACAAAGACACCCAAGCGCAATGAGTGGATCATCCCAAAGGCAAAGCGGGGGGGGGGGGGTATTGTTAGCACCGCGTCGTGCCATGGCTTTTACAGGGGTAGGATGTTCTCCGAGCGCTGAGAACGTGTGTTTTTAGGGAACGCATGGAATTGATTGTTACCGTTTCGCATTTTACCGTTGTTTGGTTTAACTTGTATGTTTTGTCATTTTTGTGCTTTTAAAGCTGTGCTTGTATGCATTGCTTGTTAGTTTTTGTGATGTTTATTTTTTTCACTCTCCAATTGCTTGATGGCGTTGGTGTGCATTGTTTTTAAAGCTTATTTGTACACATTCCAACAAAATTTATTTTTATCAATCTCCCTGTCTCCCTTACAATGGAGACTCCATTCTTATTGAACCCTCATTTGGTGTTAAGTCAGCTTTGCCAGCTCCCCATCCTTTCCCCATGTTCAGATCCAGGCTCAAGTCTTTCCTCTTCTCTTGCTGTGTCTCTCTGAAATGTCATCATTTACAGCTGTACTACATAGCTGTCTATATACCTGCGATTAGCACAGTAGGGTATGGTGTGAAAGAAGTCCAACATACAGACATGAGTCTCCTTTCCCTCGCTGCCCTACGTCATCCTACTACTCTTGCCCACCAAAAACAACCTCTAAGAAATCATTTCTTGTACATCATCTAATGACGTGTTATAATTTTATACCCGTATCACTCCAAATTGTACAAACTGTAAAAGTCATTGATCAATTGATTCTTTGTCCGGCACCACTCTCTGGCTGCCCCCTTGTCATCACTGCCCTGCCTAGGAGTTCAAGGATGTGCCATTCCTAAAGAAGTATAAGTACAAGCAGCGCGAGCGCGTCTTCATGTCCGCCCAAGCTACTACCAGCCCGCCACGCGCTGCCACCGTCGCCACTGCCACCGTCGCCACTGCCGCAACCAAAAGTGGAGAAGCCCCCGGAACCAGCGCTGGCGCAGTCCCAGGTAACTGGCAGAGGGTGGGTACCGGTCGACTGCTGTCGTGCCCTTTGTTTAAAGGAAGACGAAATGCAGATAAAAAGCGATCTGGTGCTATTTTATAGATGCATTACACGAGCTGTTTGTCCCGAGCTGTGTGACATGAGTTTGAAGTTCTAGATTTGAAGCTTTCGTGACTGCAAGGATTCATATTCTTAGGTTTTTTCGGTAAAGTCATGTAGGTAAAAAAATTTAAATTAATAAAAGTTAAATAAAAATAAAAATCACGACGTTTCGGAGGCAACACAAGCTTCCGTCTTCAGGTGGAACCGTCACAGCATGACTGCTGCATCAAGTAAGAGAAATTCCAAGAAAACAGTCCTTGTATATATACTGGTTGAGGGTGACTTTACCGAAAAAACCTAAGAATATGAGTTTGAAGCTTTGTTAATAGAAAGTTACGGCCACATAGCTCTCAGCAATACCGCTATGGTGCCTTCTGGTAGATGTCTGCCATGCTGGAATCCGTTCATCTCCACAAATTCAGAGCTGAGGGACCCTGGCTACTTTGTTTCGATGAATTATCACGATTTGGCATCATTATTCAGTAAACATTATGACCTGGCTGCATTGATTACAGTGCATTTAGCGGTACTAATGGCTATGGAGGTCATGTAAAGCAAATACATAAAGCGTTCGCATTTTAAGCGAGAATTCAATTTATGTATTATGAGCATGAAAATAAATTTTAATCGATGATTCTATGCATCGTTACATGTTAATGAAATACCTCTCGATTGTTTTGTGGTTTGCATTTTGTCTTTGTCTATTTGTTTCGATATGTCTACAAATATCTTTGTGTCTGTCTCATGTCGTGTGTGGTCTCCAATGCCTGTTGTGTGCCCCCTGCCTGACTACTCACGTTGTTCGCTGCCGCGGTTTTCCCATGGTGGGTGCAGGGAAATTATTGGTCGGCAAGGCGTTGTGCTTGGTGGGGAAGCTGCAGAAGAGTCGTGATGATATCAAGGCACTGGTGGAGAAACTGGGAGGCAAGATGACCAGCACAGTCTCCAAGGCCGACTTCTGCATTAGCACCAAGAGTAAGTGCTTTCCTCCTCGATGTGTGTCCAAAGAGTGATCACCCACGAGTGATCATGAAGGCACCTTTGCTAAATGCCTTGAAACACTGGACCACATTTTAGAGCAAACGACATCAAAAATTGTCACCCCCAGCACCTGGGATTGCTCCCAGCATCTGCGAGCAACGACTGACACCTTTGGTATATTCATGACATAGGGTGATGGTGTTCTGTCGAGCTAATGAAAATGCAGTTAAGAACTGTTTTTGAAGGACAATGATTGGTCTGCAAAGCACACACCACCGAGCAGCCATGTGATCTCTCTCTTTGATGTGATTGGAAGTTGCCATCCAAGTTGTGCTTTGGCTTGCTGTTTTTTATTGTTAGCATATTGTGCAACAATTGCTGATGAGATTTTCCATCAAAAATTGCCATAAAATGGCCCTCTTAATGTCGTGAAAGTCATGGGAGGGCATATTTTGGTGAAGAGGTCATCACGACCAATGGCACTGTGATGGTCTTGAAATTACGTCCAATGTGCTGGGTCCCACAGTTCTAGCAAATTCAACATCCAAATTGAAATGATCACCGTTTATCAGCATCACCACCACCACCACCACAATCCGGCTTTGTCTACCGTTCACCAATCTCTGTGTGCCCACTCAAGTTATCATCTTAGTAGCCTGCCCTCCATCCTGGACCTGTGACAGTAAACACAATGCTGTTCATCGTACCTCTTCATACATTACACTTTTGCGTAACTTAAAGATCATGTGAGGTATGAAATGGAACAACACCACAGGCAATGGGGGATCAACACCAGATGCAGTACATATCCATAGATGTCTCTGCTGTCATTGCACAATGCATTTGCATTCCATTTCCTGATTGTCCACTTTCCACTATTATGAGTTCCTATTGGGCACAAGTCGTCATCAACTCTACATCCTCCTTCGCGCTCTCCCTTCTCTTCTCCTTCCCCCACCGTGCAGAGGAGGTGGAGAAGATGTCAAAGAAGATTGCGGAGGCTCAGACGTACAACGTATGCGTGGTGGCGGAGGATCTGCTCGCAGAGGACTCGGGGCGGCCCTTGGCTGAGCTGGTGTCGGCGCACCGCCTCTCGACCTGGGGGGCGTCAATCAAGGTTGAGCAGGAGCCAACGGTGAAGACCGAGCCAGTGCTGGAGGTTCCCAAGGAGGCGTCGGCTAAGAGCAGCAAACGAAAGTCGGAGGGTATGCGCCGTCGCACGTGGGGGAGAGTGATGATGGCGAATGCTGGTTGTTCAGGCCCTGTTTGTGGTTTAGGTCCGAACAGGCTTGAAGGATGGCGCGAAGAAATGCTCAAGCATTATTTTGCGGAACCTTACTGAAATATTGAATCTTCAAATTGACGCTTTCATAGATTAAAAAAGGCTATTATTAATACGTGAAATAAGTTAAATAGCTCAATTAATAGATCACACACGTGTAATTCACTATGCTGAATGTTGGAGAAATCTTGCATTTTGTTAACTGTCGTGTAATATATGTACCTTATGGCGGTACCCCGGGGTACAATAGTACCCCGGCTCTTGCATAATGTCCGTGATGCAGTCATTTTTAGTCTGTTGATGATCGGCGATGCGGCAATCGACTCATCTCGACGAGCTGTACACGATGCACCACTATGGTGCGTACGAGCGTTCAGGGTTTCGGCGCAATCGTCCTCGCTGCGTTTCGACATCGTGGAGTAGCACTGATTTCGGATTGAGTGTTACCCCAGTCGTGGAGTTAAGCACAGAAATAAAATATTTAATTGCCTCAGCCAATTTGTATTATTTGGTAGCCCTGGGTACCGCCATAAGGATCATATTGTGGAAGTAAATTTCTGCTCGTGTGTATTTACTTTTGAATGTGTGGTATGTGTGTACACCTGTGTGCTTGTATAGGTCAGAAGGCCGAGGCGAATAAGCTGAAGCTGACTGTGAAGGGTCGTGCTGCCGTGGACCCCTTGTCTAGTGAGCCAAACACTAATCTACGACACTTAAATTGTCTTCATACCAATAGGTTTTGTTGGTGACATGTATGCGTTGCCGTGTGATGTGAAATTAATGGCGAGCGGAGGACACTTCAGTCTTTTCAAATGCACGTCCTCCCCTCCTCTCACCGGCACACCGGGGCCAAGATTGGACCCGCTCATGTTGGAGGTATTGCTTTTCCCCGACCGTAGATTTGGTGGATGTGGCCCACGTGCTGGAGGATCATGGCATGATCTACGGCGCCGCAATGAGTCTGGTGGATGTTGAGAGAGGAACCAACTCGTACTACAAGCTGCAGCTGCTGGAGTGTGACCTCAATCGAAAGTGAGCGACAGATGCACGCGCATGCCAGAGCAGGCCAGGACAGGCCATCCTCGGCTATACCATATGAAGGGAACACTAACCCCGGGTAAAGTAACCGGCTGGCCAAGTGGCCTGGTGGCTTGCACGTCCAAATCTAGCGTCAGAACATGCAGCAAGTGCTGATGAGCAAATGACTCTTTGAAGGAATATGTTTAGTTCAGTGTGAAACAATGCAAGGCGGAGAGGTGGTTAATGGGGTTAATTCTGTTTAACAGAATTTTGCCAGCACTGCTGAAATTCTTGATTAGAATCTGGATTTCATGCAGCTGAAAACAAGTGGAGTGGAGTTGATGGTTTCAGCCTGGTCACCAATTCACCAATGAAAAAAATATGTATATCAAAAAAATCATATCAGCATATTCCATCTTTCAGGATTAAACACTCAGGTTCTCATATCACAAACATTCTTTGGAGGACATTTATTTTTATTGTTTCAAAGTGTCACAAACAAGTTCTACTTAAGCGACTCTCCAAGTTATTTTCTGATATATCTTCTCGGAGCAATTTTTGGAAAAAAATATGTATATCAAAAAAATCATACCAGCATATTCCATCTTTCAGGATTAAACACTCAGGTTCTCATATCACAAACATTCTTTGGAGGACATTTATTTTTATTGTTTCAAAGTGTCACAAACAAGTTCTACTTAAGCGACTCTCCAAGTTATTTTCTGATATTATCTTCTGGAGCAATTTTTGGACACTCGAAATACTGTGTCTCTTGACGATATAATCTCGGTATCGCAATTGTAATATAAAAGTGGATAGAGGAAAGTAACAAGGAACATTTTATATATATGTATATGTTTAGTCACTACATATATATGTAGTGACTAAATGGCCTTAACAGTTCACACTTGGTAACTACGGTTCCCAGTCAGGACAGCTGGCAGACTGCCTGACTGGCGACGCCGAGATGGTGAAGACGGAGACGACGGCGAAGATTCTATCAGCACCATGAGGATCCCACTCCACACGACAGCCCCGAGCTCCCCTCCCGGGGCCCCTCTTATACTGTCAGCGTGGCCTGGCTCCGCCCCGGCCACACCCCCTTTCTGGAACCTACTAGCGGGTTCTCGATGTGACCCTTTCGTGACCTTACCCCGAGATCCCTCTCCGGTCGATCACGTGGCCTGTTGTCAGTCAGGGCTGTTGTAAGCTGCAGATCCCCTTCCCTGCCAGCAGCCAGCGCTATGCTGCTACGTGACCGATTCTATGTCACTGCATATATATTAAAAAGTGTGAATTCACAACCCCCCTCTCTTGCAGATACTGGGTGTTTCGCTCATGGGGCCGCTTGGGCACGACGATCGGTGGCACCAAGCTGGAGAAAATGAAGAGCCGTGAAGACGCGGTGGAGCACTTCTGCCAGCTCTACTTCGACAAGACCGGCAACAAATGGAACACCCGCAACTTCGTCAAGTACCCCAATAAGTTCTACCCGGTGGAGACGGACTACGGGCAGGTACGGTGGCGCTTGCTTGTGGTATCCAACACTCTGGATGTGCGAGGGTTTGTTAACTGCGTACGTTTGTGAAGATCCGCAGAGGGCTGTGAGGTGACGAAAAGACGGCAGTTGCAGTAAAATGACCTGTGAACCCATCTGCGCATTAGTCCCTCTTTTGCATTGGGTTTTCTCAGTTCGATTAATGAGGTAGCCTCATTTTTCGAATTGGTCAAATATCCCAATGCAGGTAAAGGTAAAGCATTAGACGTTTTCTTGCTCACGCCACTTTGCGAAACGGTCTCGACTAGATGGCTCCTCGAAGAGGGTATTTGGCCTACTCCTCCACGCTGGCCAGAGGTCTTGGAAGAGGTGGGAGTACGTTACCCCACCACACATGATCTGCCGATTGACTAACTGGTGTACCTATTTTATACTGCTATGTGGACAGAGGCGGGAGGGATTTTAATAAAACTGACCATTGTTTTACTTCCGTGTCGGGAAATGGAATTGAAATGTGACTTCTGAAAAAGACATTTGAGATTCAGGTAAGGCTTTTCCAGATGAGTTAATGACATTCGTTGTATTGTGTTCTCACGTGGGCTCACTCCACTCGATAAAGTGCCTCTGTTTGGATCGGGTTGTTTCGGGAGTGCAGCTCGTGTGACCGCTCACGACTTCACCTCTGGGCATGCCTGAGTGCAGGATGATGAGGACATTCATGATCTGAAGGCCATGGCGGGTACCAACTCGAAGCTAGCAAAGCCGATTCAGGAACTGCTGCGCATGATCTTCGACATAGACAGCATGAAGAGGACCATGGTAGAGTTCGAGGTGGGTTGACGCCACGGATCATGTGTTTGCTTCCCCTAAGACCCCACCATTGTTTGCTTGTTGGAAGTGATTGGGTGTGCCTGCTGTTGGTGGCGGTTCATTACTTCATGTTGTCGGATCTTCCCCGCAGATCGATCTCTGCAAGATGCCTCTTGGAAAGTTGAGCAGGAAGCAGATCCAGAGCGCCTACAGCGTGCTGGGGGATGCACAGAAGGTGCGTGTACAATATAATGGAATTTAAGGAGCGTGGATCATGCAGGGCTGCCATGCCCCTTTGCTCACATATTCATGTAGCACTACCGTATGCTAACATCTATTATCGTTGAGGATGTGGTGAATGGCAAGGTGGCATGTGTGGCTTCGAGGTCAGAGGAGTGAGCTGGCACCACTAAGGGTCTTGAGTCCGAACCGTGCCTGATTAAAATTCGGTTCTCAAATGTCGCGTGTCTTAGGGGCCATCCATTTAGTACGTACGCAAAAATCTGTCAACTTGACCCCTCCCCCCCTCCCTGTACGCACGTGTACTTTTTACACACCCCCCCCCCCACCTGCGTACGCACCCTTGATACACTCCCCCCCCCCCCCCCCGAATCCTAGAGAACGGCCGATATTTGATCCACGCAGAAACGATCAAGGATTAATCATATTAATGTGTTTAAGGAAACAGATAGTCCACCGCCGGACTATCTCAATAATTTGAAGGCCATTGTAGACAAATTATTATCGAGGCTTCACCTCCACACCCCCCCCCCGCGTTTTCTATGCGTACGTACATTGTCAATAGACCCCCCATTCGCAAGTGTACGCATTTGGGTTAACCCCCCCTCCCCCCTCTATGCGTACGTACTAAATGGATAGCCCCTTATGATTTCAGCCCAGTCACCAATGATCACACGAAACTACCCACCACGTAAAGTTCAGGCTTGCGGTTTGGATTAATTCCAGCTGTGAGACTAAATAAAAAAAATATCACTTGTACTGTCATGCCATTGTCTCATCGCAGAGCTTGTCGGCAAAGTATGGATCTTACTGTGTCAAGAATAATACGCCAATGCTGTAATGTTATTTCCATGGCCCCTTTTTCTGTCAGATCTCCAAATTAACGATTCATCTCAAGACATGATACCATCGCAAGAAATGACGCCGATAGCACATTTTGCATGTAACATGCGTCGTGTATAACTACATAATTACATTTCAGCAAGATTGGACTTTATACAGCAATTAAAATCGAGAAAGTTGTATTGTGTGTGTGCTGTTGTGAGAATATCAATGTTACTTGTTCGGGTGATTAAAACCTATTTGACATGATGAAATTGAAAAGTGGTAAAATGCCTGCCGGAAGGCCACACGTGAAACAGAAATCTGATTCATAGAACTTGTTTGTGTAAACACGTGTTTAAGGATCGCTAATATATGCCTAGGAAATATTATCTCAATCCTCATATCTATCTAAGGACACTTCACATTATTTCAGGAAAACTATAGAACCCCTAAACAAATATCTACAAAACGTAACACATAGTTTACTAATCACAGTATACATTTTTTGGGCAATATTTACAACAAATTGCTTTGACACTTTATTAAGCTGTGTACCAGTGTAATTGGCACACGTGCGCCCGACGTAATGACTAGATACTTTTGCATGCGAGGTTGCATGTTCCTGTACCCACATTTTTTTATGACAATTGTGTCCTCCAGAAAAAAGCTGAATCTCTTCGTGGATTAGCTTGCCAGATAATTTTTTTTGACCCCCCTCCGACTCCTGGCTGGCTGTTGTCTGCAGCTGGTGTCCGAGAGTGGCCTCACCTCGCTGATCCAGGACCTGTCCAACAAGTTCTACACCCTCATCCCGCACGACTTCGGCATGAAGAAGCCCACACTCCTGGACAACCTCGACTATATCAAGGTGGGCGTCTCGGGCTTAATAAAAATAAAAAACCCTCCCAATGTGTTCAACCCACATCACACCGTTGTGCTCGTTGTGCAAATAAATCTTGGCCGAACCGTGAATGACGCTCGAGATGTCATAGGTTGAACACTCGTTCCTGACGATGATAGGTGTGCAAGACAGCAGTGTGTCATTGCAAGTAGGCATGTAGCACTTCACCCTACCGTCACCTCCTCCATCTCCCACCATTAGCCTGATTTGACGAATTATCACAATTCCGTTCAAGAACGAAATTGTGTTTTTTCATTTTCAAACTTCTAAACAATTACAGTGCAAGAAACTGAGGCCTTGGGGCTGATGGGTTGTATAGAATTTACATTTTTTTCATGTGGAGCGACAAATATATGAAGGAGACATTGTCTTGATTATCTACTTTGTTATTGATTTTCTCCATAATGACGCGAATAATTATTTACAGCTGCATAGATAGCTATGCTGTACTCTACACACAGGTGTCTGCACGATAGGTTTCCATGGAGGCTTCAGCTCTGCCACCATAGCAATTATTTTTGCCCTGGAACGTAATGGGGCTGCTCATCGTTGGGTTGCAATTTAGCCACGCAGCATTATAGGCTTTAACAAAAACTCCATGAATGCCCGTAGACAACGTCATAGATTTTTTTGGTAAGGTAAGCATAGATAGTGACGTGTGCCCATCTATTTGTCCATCCGTCTGAACTTTGCTCTTCCGTTTTTACAGATGAAGGTGGACATGCTCGACAACCTGATGGACATCGAGGTGGCATACAGTCTCCTGAACCCCAAGGACGAGACGTCGGGTGGCAAGAAAGATTTGCTGGATGCAAGCTACGAAAAACTGCACACCACTATAGAGGTAGTGCCTACACGTTCATATGTGGGGGTGCACTGTCCTGTGATCCCAGATATCTTGATTCCTCATCTGGCCATGCACAACGTCAGCATGAAGTTGAATCCTCTTGTCGGTCCACTCAGCCTTACAATGAGTACCTGGTCTGGTGTGGTGAGCTTGTGGTTGGTGTGTAATTGTACGTATGCATGTGCACGTGACATGGCTCTAGGGGCGGTGGCATGGCCTAGCGGTAGCCCCGTTTTTGGTTGTTGGAGAAGTTCACGTTTCGAATTCGGCAACTGGCATTGTTAATACTTATAATCATAACACATGTATGTGCTGGCTGCTTCACAGTGCACGTTACAGATCCCGTGATATCTTTCACAAGAGTAGGCCATTGTGTGCTGGCGTCATGGTGCTGGTTTCTTGCTGCCTCCCAGCTTGTCTGTGGTATCCTGCCCTAACGAGTTAGATGGACTAAATTGCCACCTGATGTAACACATTCCTGCGGAGGGAGCTGGTAGGAACGTTGGGTTGCTCGGTCAATGGCCAGGGTCAATGGCGGCGTGGTGTATTCCGCAAATATGCCCGACTGTGAGGGCGAGCACAAGCCGGCGTGAGGAGGTTAAACGTTGAGTTTTATAATATAAGGGCACCACGGGGTGACCAGCTCTTCCCCACTCTCCCCACCCAGCCCCTCCCCACCCAGCCCCTCCCCACCCTCCCCTCCCCACCCAGCCCCTCCCTCCCCACCCAGCCCCTCCCTGCACGACGGACGGACGGACACAATAATCCCCTGTGGGCTGGTGTAACCAGGAGGTTCTGACCAGTATAATGTACTGTATGTGTGTGTCTGCTTTTGCATGTTTGGTGTTGATGCATTGGTTCATGCACTACACTATGAAACTGGCCACCTGAGCATGACATGGCCTAACACAAAACTCTATTGTGAATCATAATGTTGGCTGCGAACACCTATTTGTTAATAGATGGTTGTATTGTTTGCACGCGCGTGTGTGTGGACCTCAGGTGCTGGGTAAGGACACGGAGGAGTTCCGAGTGATCCTGGAGTATGTCACCAACACGCACGCGCACACGCACGATGCCTACGAGCTCGAGGTGGAGGAGGTGGGTACCCTCGCACTCCACCAGAGAAACTATGCCATGAGCAATGGTCAATCCCCTGTTAGGTGAAGGTCTCCCCAAATTGCTACCATTCTTCGTGGACTCGCGATGCAACAATCCACCCATCACAGCTGCGCAGTTGACATTCTCTTGCACGTTTTCCCTCCTTTGGGTACCATTCATTATTATAGCGATGTGTCATGTACAAGCTCAATTATTTTTTCTAAAGAGTCAAAAGTTATATATTTAACCGGCGTATGGTTCTCTAAGAATTTTGTTCACCGTTCTGTCTCCCAAACCCAAGCTTCTTTTGTGCACTTTTGAGCTTTTGTTCCATCTTGGTGACTATTTCCCAGACGAGAGTTCTGCGTAGGAGTAGAATACTGGGTCGTATTGGGTCCTCCATGTTGAAGACACGTCGCATTAATATACTTTACAAACACAATCGGTGTCGCTTTGCGCGCAACGCACGTGTGTCTGCGTCCATCGGCAGGTGTTCAAGGTGTCGCGGGACGGCGAGTTCCAGCGCTACCGCCCGTTCCGCGAGCTTCACAACCGCCAGCTTCTGTGGCACGGTTCCCGCATGACAAACTACGCCGGCATCTTCTCCAAGGGCCTCCGCATCGCGCCCAAGGAGGCTCCAGTGGTACGGACCCCGACGCTCCACCCTCCGCTCCACAAACACCCCCTTCTCCGCTCACGTCAAGCTTTGCCCTCCTCACATTTACACGGACTCAAGCTGCCACGCATATGATTGTACATGGACAGCCCTTTTATTAGTCCACTGCTGGATGAGGGCCTCCCCGTGCCGTGCGTGTCACAGGGATTAATTTGACCTTACGTCACACTCCTCAGTGCAGGTTGGTGAAAGTTCATCGTGTAGATGTTTGAAAAAAGTTCACGATATCAATTTGTTTACTGCACTGCCCCCTGCTGATAGCATTGCCCTGAAGCAGCCTGTAGCACCTGTATTGTGCATTGTGGCATACAGGCTCAACTTACTTAACTTGCGGGATATGATGAGATTGTATACATTCCTGGTGATTTATCTATAGCCAAACCTAAGATTCATCATCATCAACCATTGTCTATACACGGCTGGATTACAGCCTCCCCATGCGTCACGCTCCTCAAAGTCCAGTGCTACTACCATCCATCGTACTCCATACACGTAAACCAATTTCACCGCTTCGTTTCCACAACGGTCGCCCTCTTGGACGCGTGCTCTCTTTGCGAGTGCCCGGTGTGTATTGCGCGGCTTGTTTCCCCTCCGTAGACGGGCTACATGTTCGGCAAGGGTGTCTATTTCGCCGACATGGTGTCCAAGAGTGCCAACTACTGCCACACAAGCCCCAGCAACCCCACCGGCCTCATCCTGCTCGCCGAAGTCGCCCTCGGCAACATGTGGGTTGACCTGCTGCCTCCCCTTCCCCCTGACGCTTTCTCTCCAGGGTTCCCCCCAACCCAACCCCCCTTTGTCTCCCTCTTCTGAATGTGTTCAGTTACCTGTCATGTGTGCCTCGGCTGCATCGGTCACGTGTTGTCATCTTGGAATCCTTTTTGTTATCGTTGGGGCACTTCTGCTCCTGTTCAATTATTCTGTTCTGTTGGATGCAAGAAATACATTAATCCACGCTTCATCCATGATCTATTTCTTGCTGCGGTAAAACCATATAATGATGTTTTTATCCAGGAAAGCCTCATTGAGTCTCAGAAAAACTGTTTCTAGCAGGGTCCTGCATGTGGATGTTTGGCCAGTTCCTTTGCAATGAGCCTTTTGCATGTGGGGCACTCAGAGAAAAAGCATGCGTACAAGGAGAGAACATGAATAAGTCCACACAGATGGGTTCATGAACCTAATTTAAACTACTGCCATCTCCTGGTCACCTCGGTGCACAGTGGGTTTTATAGTTTTGCATATCTATGTGATGTAGCAGTCCTGGTCTCCATGATGGGATTAAAGTGTGCGACTCCCTCCATTTTTTTCATTGGATTAATTCCCTGATTGAACGAATTTCCTTTTTTTGGGTTAATAAGAAGGAAAAAAAGCCCAAACAATGTAACTATATTGGCTGAACATCTCAATACTGAAAAATTATCTCCATCTTATTCAATTTGGTTTAACAGATAGCAACCTCGCCTCATACTGAAAAAACTTGGCAGGACTCTGCTTAAAAACATTATCTTGAGACTTAGCGAGCCTTTCCTGGGTAAGCATATATAATAATAATGCCTGCACATCAACCCCAAAAATAGCTCAAAGCTAACTGCTTTCTCTTCATCCCGTCTTCCCCACCTACACCGCACTGTGCAAATACAATACTTTGAAAAATGCAAAAAACGATCTACAGCTGGTGTGTTGTAGAACAGCCGTTCCGTAATGAACTTGTTTCCACCCCCGCCGCCGTTCGCGTGAGAGCTTTGTTGCCCGTTGTCGTTCCACAGGCATGAGCTGAAGCAAAGCGAATCGATTACCAAGCTGCCAAAGGGAACCCACAGTGTGAAGGGTGAGTGGTCTTCTTTCTCTCACTCTCTCGCTCTCCCCGGCACACATCATGCACCTGGTTTTCATTAAGAAGTTAAAGAAATTTGCTCCGCTTGTACAAAAGTCCCCGGTTTTTTTTGTGGCACTTGAGTAGCTTACTGTTGTCCAAAACGGAATTGTATTTTTTTACAACCACTATTGACATCGTGTTCTGTAATGCGTCCATCAATTTGACAGTAACTTCCTGATTATAAAGACACTTGGATGGAATACATCAGCATTAGCTTATTTCAATTTAAAACTCATTCACTTTGCCCGAAGTACAATTATATGACAATGACGTGTCATTGTATATTCTGTTAACAAATAGTTTTTTAAAAGCATGTTCATTTTCGTTTATTGAAATGAACAGCGCCGATTAAAAACAGTGATGTGGAAACCCGGTAATGGTCGACGATAACCCTATAGTTTCAATAATATGACTCTTAAATGCGCTGCAAAGGTGTGTTGGTGCATTTGTCCAACCCTGCAGGCTACGGCACTTGTCTTATGTCGCAACATGCAAATCATCCTGTCCGACAATTGTGCAACGTGTTCCTTTTCTTTCCCACCGTTCTTGTGTGTGTGTGTGCGCGCGTGTGCGACGGCGCAGGTGTGGGTAAGACGGCGCCTGACCCGAAGAAGACCGTGACTCTCAACGGCGTGCAGGTGCCCATTGGCAATCCTGCCGCGACGGGCATCAACGACACCAGCCTGCTGTACAACGAGTATCCTTCGCTAGCCCGGCCTCCCTGCCTCCACTCCCCTTCTCGTCCCCGCGCTCTCTTCCCTCCCCTGAGCACCGTTAACGCCCACGACAGCGAGACCTGCCTTGGGCTCGTGTTCACACTCAATATTTTCTGGGTTTGCTGGCAGGCTGTGGGGAGGTGGCACGTGACGAGTAGCTGCAGCCATGGTGAGAATTATACCAACTGTGGTGCGCCTCTGGGTACGGAAATATTTTCTCACTCGCCAAACCTGGCTGATATCAAGCCCCTGCTTCTGTCTGTGCCAACCAAATAGTTGGAATATATAGAATTGGTTGTGGCCAAATTTTATTAGGAAGGTTTCATTGACCAGGCATGCAAGGCTTCATTAGGTTTTGTTAGAGTAGTTGTACAGGTTTATTTTGTTAGATCAGTTGGCTGTTGCTGGGATTAGTTGTACAGGTGAGTTTTACGTTTCTCATGTTTAGGCATCTATTGCTGCACACATTGTCCTTAACGTGCCCTTCCTCCAGATACATCGTTTACGACGTGGCTCAGGTGAACATCAAGTACCTGCTCAAACTGAACTTCAAGTACAAGATGCAGCTGTGGTAGACAAGCGACAGGCGGAAAACACACAAAACAAAAAAAACAAAACGCACGCCAAGGGACTGGACTGAACATGCTGACACAACACAGTTGGACGCAAAGAATCGGAGCCGCAAGTTTGAGTAAGCCGTGGCATCACAAACTTAAAGAGCGCTGCGACACCTCTTACACCACACACAGGCAACATGCACAACTACTTGCACGCCCCACAGATACGCCCCTCAATCTGCGCTAACATCGGTGTCGACACGTGGAGGTGTAGGTAGAACACTGCAGTTTATTTCCATGTAATCAGTGTAACGTTTATGTAGTCAGAACGTTTTAACGATTATGGCGAGGTGAGCTCACTTGATATGTTTTCGGTTGTAATACGTGTTGTTCGGCACGATGATCATCGTTTCACTCCACGTCCTGGGGGGGGGGATCCTCTTTGGAAACTGAATGGAGCAGATCACACGACGTAGCAGAGAGCCCGTGGTCTCGTGGAGCGTTTGATGGATAGCACCATTCCGCCTATCTCGCGCGAGCACTGCGCTTATATCTTGAGAAAGGGGATTTGTGTGTTGTTGGCGAGCGGTGTACGCTGTGGGCTGTGGTCATTGGCGGTGGTGGGGACGACGGTTAGTGTGGGCACGTGGGGTGTATTGAACTTCACTTGCACCGTGCAAGGATTTGAAAGCATCGTGGAACGAGTATTATAAGTGAGATCTATGTTAATCGATGTAGCAGTAGTGCGTGCGCGGGGAAAGTTAACTCCTCACTCGCAAAGGAGACCAAACTGATTTATTTGTATAAGCTAAACTATGTTAATGCAACACTTTAGAACATAAGGTACACACAGTGAACATTTGAATCTGGAAGTGTGTTTTTCTGCTGCAATCTGCAAGTTATGATTTGTGAGACATTTACATTTCACATACTGGAAGCTGTGAGTTGGATTCTAAAATTTTGAGTCACAATTGTGGTGCATGTGATGTTAAAATCACCAACATGCAACATGAGAATATAAGGTGGCTGAAAAAGGTTTTTTCCCAGATTTTCATATATACCTCAGGTTTTATAGGCTGGCCTTCGTTCATCTCTTCCCCACAATGGGCTACACCGTGCTGTTTAACTCCAACATGGGGTCTGTTGCGACTATCTGTAACTGTTGTTGCAGCAGGCAAACACATTAACAGAGGCACTATTGTAAAATTTCGATTTAAAGCTTTCGTGACTGCAGGGATTCATCTTCTTGGTTCTTTCGGTAAAGTCACGTAGAAGGGAAGTAATAAAATAATAAAAATAAAACATAATAAAACAGTGCTCCAACATTTTTTGAGTCAAGGCCAGAACACTAGTTTCCCCAAGTGCTAGTTTTGGTTGTTATTTGTATAACGATAGATCATCTATGATAAGACGCTTGAAACATGCAAACATATAATAAGGTAGGGCTATTAAGAAGCCAATAGCAGCCTCGTGTTTAGAACGTGACGTATGTGAAATGTAGCCCGCTTCAGTCGTCTAGACAAGTTGCGCTTGCTTGAAGTCTGCTAGTTTTTGCTACTCAAGCTTACACGTTTTCACTTTTGTATGTTTTAAAATAACTTGATATTAATCCTGCCTTGTGAAGCTCCTTCTCTGGTTTTGAGTTACTGTATAGGTGAGCACCCTGTTATGACCTCACACACTGGTTCTGGGCTACAACGCACAGCCCAGGTAACCCCAACTGTGTCTCTATACCTTTACGTCTGTGATTTTGCATAAAAAAACAACCACAGTGTCGCGTCTTTCATTTAATAAAACATTTTTCATAATGAATAACTACTGATGTGACCGCTTAGTGCATGAGAAACTGTTGTCTTGTTTTTTATTCATATATGGATATACCGTTTCTTCACAAAGATAACATTCATTGCTACATCTTCTTGGTTCTTTCGGTAAATAATAAAATAATAAAAATAAAACAATAAAATAAAATTATCACGACGTTTCGGCCACAACGCAAGCAGACGTCCTCAGGTGAAGAACAGGGCTGTCGGATGCTGTCTTTCCGACAGCCCTCTTCTTCACCTGAGGACGGCTCCTTGCGTTGTGGCCTAAACGTCGTGAGAATGTTATTTTATTGTCTTTCCGACAGCCCTGTTCTTCACCTGAGGACGGCTGCTTGCGTTGTGGCCGAAACGTCGTGAGAATTGTATTTTATTATTTCCCTTCTACGTGACTTTACCGAAAGAACCAAGAAGATGAATCCCTGCAGTCACGAAAGCTTTAAATCGAAATTCATTGCTATATTTTATAGTGTGGCAGCTCTTCAACATCAGGCTGTGCTTTTTACCCACCGTTCATCCTGCGTCAGTGGTGTAAATTCTGCATTTGAGTGATGTGGCCCATATTATTATTCCGCTTGTTTACCCAGAAAAGTCTCGCTCAGTCTCGGTACTGTACTTTTTGAAGAGGCTCCTGCCAGGTTTTCACAGTCGAGGCCAATGTTGCTCTTTGTAATACCAATTGAAAAATGTGCAGGTAATGTTTCAGCATTTGGATGTTTGACCCATCCCATTTACATTGTAGGGGCTTTTCAGCTTAATAATTATCTTGACACATGAGGAAATGTCATATTCCTTTGGCCAGGCTTAGTCTTTATTTAATTAATTGCTACGAATTGGATTCCACTTGCCAAATATTTCACCATCTCCAGATGGTGCTTATTTCACCAATTTTACATGTGAATCCATGACACCAATCTAAATGCCAGGGTTTCCAACTAGGCTATCAATCTAGGTCCATAGCTTGGGTTGGTTTCTAAGTGTGCTTGATTAATTCAGCTTATCGCAGATGACTGATGGATTGTAGATTGACCCTGACCAGGATTTGAATTTCGGGGACCTCCTTTTCAAAGGAGCCATATCCCAGACAGCGATGATGGCATTAGCACTGCGTTTTACAATCACAAATTTGTATTTTCTTTCAGAATAAAAAGTCTTCAAGTTGATATTTCTAGTAGGAACTCACGGCGAACATTAGGCCGAACGCGACCGCAACTCCCAGCACTGTGACCTCCCTTCGGATCAATGCAGCACAACCCCTGCTGGCTTCGGAGAGCGACGGCTTCAGAGTCACAGTTGACTTTGCGGGTGGCCCGGTGGTCGTTGTTGAATTGGTTCGCGTGGTTATTATCGTGGTTGTGGTGGTGGTTGTTGAAGTGGTTGAGGTGGTCGTGGTCGATGTGGTTGAGGCGGTCGTGGTCGGTGATGTGTAATCACGGCAGAGCCTCCCAGTGGGGCACATCAACATCCCGTCATAGCCGGGGACCTGGGGCGGAAAAAGGAATTTAATTTCGAGGAAATTATAAATAGGCAATTATAAAATAATGAGATTTTTTTTTAAAGACTGCAAGAGACATTCATGATCACAGTGAACTGAACTTCTGCCCTCCAATAAAGTATTGCATCATGGGAATCTTTTGATTTCTAACGAACATAAATCTAAAGTAATTTTTGTTAGAACAATATAATTATTGGTGTGGCATGCACGCATGTGGTTCCAAAAACCATGACTGATCTCATAAAACATTAAGAAAATCATCCAGCCTTGTAATTTTTGACATTCTGAGTCCGAATTTAGTGTTTCAGATGTAAAGTATTGTAACCATGATACTAATGTGATAAACTCAATACAGATTTTAAAAACCCCCACCATCAGCAATGGCCATTCCACTGCTGGATGAAAGCGTCCCCAAAGCCATCTATCTCAGTCCCACCATGTACAAATTAGTACCTGCATATGAGCTAATTTCATCACTTCATCTCCATGTTATATGTACTCTAGGGCACGTTTCCTCCTTTAACCGTTACTGTGTCGTTTGTCTTGACCACCGGCCATCATTTCTTCTCGTGACGTGTCCTGCCCAAGCCCAGGGCTTTTTCTAAACAGTAAATGCAATGGCTCTACCTAGTCTATGTTCTCTAATTTAAGTGGTAATGCCAAGCATGCAGCTATCCATGCTTTGCGAACTTGTTCCATTGGCATTTAATTTTCCTTGTGTAGACGAACATACGTTGAGATAATGGATTTTGATCATAGCCAAAAGCCAAGTTAAGCGGAACGAGTGTGACACTGATCCTGGCTGAGCGTCTTTGTGGAAGGACGAAAAAAATGTTGCAAGCTGTCATCGCCAGATCCACGGTGAACACTGGTGCTCATTGTTTTACATCGCAAAAGCAGTACGCGGGCCCTTGCGATCAGTTTCCAGCAACCAGAGAAAAGAGGACAAATATGCTGAAACGATGCCGGTTCCGTACAAAGTTGAGAGAATTGTCAAGGTCGGTGTGGTTTTCAAAAATTTTGTCCTCAAAGTGTGGATAAACTTTTAATTGCAACATCTCTTGAGACGAACTAAGAATCCATTTACAGATTTCCCTCGCTTTATGCTGGTTCGGTTTGTGTGATTTCGGGTAGATGCACCTAACCTATTTCTACAAATAATTCGCTGTTTGACGTTTGAATTCACTCATGCGGCTATTGTGAGTTGCTGTACAGGGTGCTTCAAGAAAATGTTAACACTTCTGAGAATTTGCACCAATAGCACAAGAAATGTGCCTCTGGGCTCTGGAGACCACCTGAAGAAGATTCCAGGCGTGCGTTGACAACGATGGCGAACAAGTGGAGACTGACTTTTTGAAGCTATGAACATACATTTGTTATCATGTTACAGTCTATTATCTGTTCTTTTTCCATTTAAAAACGATAGTTCCATATAAGTGTTAACATTTTTTTAAGCACCCTGTATGTGCTACTTGGCAGGCAGCCGTCTCATGCGGTTTGTGCGCCCTTTTCTTGGAACACATTTACTGCGTAAAGTGAGGAAAACTTGTACACACATTCTGTTCAGGTTAGAATGGAACATTTTCTCTCATGCGAGTGGGAAGGAAGGAAGGGTACCAGGCAGGCAGAAGATTCACTCGGGGAGGGAAATCCAATATCCTAACTGGCAGAGTATTAACCCTTTTTCCCGTTCCGATGACGTGTACGTAATCGCAGCGGAATTTAAAGTAAAATTCCATGCGGGAGGACGTGTCGCACAGTTTGGCGCCAGCTATCATAGAGTGCAAGTTGTGTCACTACAGTTCTTTGCGGTGAGTACAATGTCTTTAAAAACAGTGGCGCTATGCCACTGTTTTGTATAGAGCTTGAATCCCATCAAACTTTAAATGCCATTAGTATAATATTCAAAACGTATAATTGCGGACTTTAGTTCCTTCCGTTATATAGTTAGAATCCCCTTCGTGTAGTTCTAATGGAATTATAGTTCGACTCTCTTTGTCAAAGAGTTCCAGTCCCATCACTGGTGCTGTTGAGGGTCGGGTGAGCTGGTCACTGTCGGTGACGACTCCAACACCCTGGCTGCCCGTGCAGTCACACATCTCCCCCCCCCCACCCATCCGCTGCACCCCTCTGGAACGAATCGAGGAAAACAGGCCCTCAATAACGTCCCTTCGTCATCGCTGTTGGACCCATGCGCTTAACCTTAAACAATGCGCATTCAACCCGAATGAAGCTTGGAGAGCTGAATGGAGTTCAAAAGAACTCACAAACACCTTGTTGTGAAAGACCCAACACAAGATCCCTGGGTTTGATCTTCCACAAAGCTCATGGTCCACCTTAAATCGCATCCACTTCACAGACCATGGCAGCAGATGCGGATACCTGATGCACAAATGGAAGATTAACAACTCTTCAGTAGTGTGCGACTGCGGTCATCCAGAACAGGCCGTACAACGTATAACGACGCAATGCCCCATCCACAAATACGAAGGAGACATCACAGCGATACACTTCGCTGCTCCTGACGCAGTTATCTGGCCTGACCCCAAATGTGAAATTGTAGTTGCTCTGCATCTATATCAGCAGCCGTACGAAAGAAGAAGTGGGGGCAGACACCTGGATGCTGGACCCTGCGGGACACGGCGTCCACCCCGAGTCGCCCACGCGCACCTCCACCTGCTCCTCCCCGAGGCAGCGATGTGCGTAGCAGCGTCCGAGCAGCCCCGAGGAGTTAGAGGGGACCCCCTAGAGGGGAACAGGGGAGGACCAGGGTGGGGTTAGCATCACGGGGGTGGGGTGAGGTGCGCACGGAACAGTGAGCGTACGTCTGCGCAGGTTAGGCGCTCGGGTGAGTAAGCCTGCTCGTACAGGTGAGAGGCCCAGTTGGCAATAACGTGTGCGCACAGGTAAGGTGATGCAGCTGATGGGGAGTACGTGTTACAGGTGAGGTACACTGATATTTGTGAGCATGTATCTGATCAAGTGAGGTGCTTAAGTGATAAGACACGTGCATATGTGCTTTGTCCAGATGAGGTGTCTGGGTGGGCGTGAGCTTGCCAGGTATACTGGTGAATCAAAGGACATGTACCTCTTCAGGTAAGATGCCCAGGTGATGTGCTTTGTTCAGGTGAGATGCCCAGATGCGTGAGCATGTCTACCTATGCAGGTGTAGGGGTGTCAGGGGAAGGATTCCCACCAATAGGAGGGGGAGGAGCAGGTGAGATATAAGGGAGAGAACAGGTGGGAAGAGGGGTTCGTTGGTGGGAACGAGATTGGGACGGCTGGGGACAGGTGTGGATGGGAGGAAAGGAATAAAAGAGGAACCCCTTGCAACCTTGTGTCGGCTTTCCTTTACACAGGTTATGTGGTGATGCTTCTGCATTGGCAGTGGCGCACAAAGCACAAATAAAAACAAATTCAACATATTCGTCAGCAACACTGCGACCTTAAAAGGAAACATCCACGATGTATGTGCCATAGCGGAGGGGGGTCCATTGCCCGAAACGTCGCACAATATGTATTTTGTTTCTTTTTAAGGCCACAGTTGTACCCATTATGGCGATCTGCTCTGGAGAGCTGTTTCTGGTGAGCTGCTATAGTCAGCTTTCTGGTAAGCTGCTTCTGGTCAGCTTTTCTGGCGAGCTGGCACTGGGCGCTGGCTCTGGAGAGATGCCCAGGCAAGGCCGACGCCCTCTCTCTTACCTGTCGGCTGAGGTTCGAGAAGAAACAGCGGCTGTTGCTCAGGTAAACCTCGCCCGTGGAGTTCCGCTCCGCGACGGAGGGGGCGTTCGCCTCCAGCCAGCACTCCCCCTGCACCACGGGGCAACACAGAGTGCACGTCGTCGTGTGACAACCCGAGAGAAATAAGTAATATTTAAACATACTTTACTTAAAAACACGCTTTAATGAAATGTTACATACGAGTCATGGCAGAACTCCACGACTCCAGGAAGTGGCCCCGAGGTTTTCCATAACGTACGTGACCGTGGTGATTTACAGCCAACGTTAGTTGAGCGTGGACAATTAGAGCCAAGGCAAAACAACATAAAAAATATATATGGTTTAAAAATATATTTGTAATTTTTTATGATAGGAATATAGTATTGTCATCAGTATGACATAAGTATATCAAGTAGATACCATATTGGGAAGTGGGTAAAAATTGAGTTACAACATTTGAGGATACGACAACAACAGACAGAGTAAGTTACTAGAAAGCGTGTAAAAAAAAGAACGCCTTCTAGTCCAGAGGCAAATGTGTGGTGTATGCATATGTATTGTTGAACTTCTTTTCACGCCGTACGTAGCCATCGGTGCTAATCGGAGGTGCGGGGGAAGGACAAGGAGCTCGTGAAACTAAATAATTCACCAGGCACGGGGCCCAGGACTGTCGGATAAATTGATGCAATGAAGTGTTGAGAACGATGTAGTTGTGTGTAAAACGCAGATTTACACGGAGGATTTACCGGTCAAGAGAGATGAAAATCATAGTTTGGTTGAGAAGCAGGGAGAAGCACGCCCGTGCATGTTGGCATGTTTTGTTAGAATGGCAAGACAGTAAACATTTTCACTTGGGTTTTTTAAATTCCGCTGAAAGGTCATAGGTCGTACACAGATCATTATCGAAACCATCGATCCGTTTTCTTCCGATTCGAATGAACTCTTATTTGACTGTAAAATGAAAGTTATTTAAGTAAGAGCTGTGACTGACGGACTCTCAGACGGACAAATTCAATTTCTCGTGACATAGATGTGAACTCTGACCTTGCTGGCGAGTGGCTTGTAGATACGGCAGCCATTGAGGAATGAGTCTGTGTCGCAGCGACCTTTGTGCAGGTGTAGGTAGTGGCACCCTAGTCCGCTATAGCGCACAACCACACAGCCGCATATGCATTCACATCACCGCACATCCACATAACCGCACATCCGCATATCAATTCCCGTAACTGCACATCCACATCGCTGCAAATCCACATAACCGCACAACTGCAATTTCGAATATCCTAACATCCACATCTGTACAGCCACACATCCACATAACTACACATGTGTAGACCCACAGTTTTGTGGGAATGCGGATGTTACAATTTAATTCCTCTGCCATTTCTAAGAATGTTTTTTTATCCCATTCTGTGCATGTGCGCTTTTGTGAGGGTGATGGTGGTGGTTGTTAGTAGTGGTTGTAGTTGTCACCTTCCCTGGCAGAAGAAGGGAGAATCTGGAGTGGAGCACGTGGAGACCAAACCGAAGTCTCCCCCCTGACCTGCAGACAACGTGAGGTGCATGTGACATACAATTAATAAGTCATAACAATAAAACAGCACTGGGGAGACAAAGGCGGCCAGGCGTGGTGCTGGACACCCCGCCCCCTGGTGCACCGTGCCGGCCTTCACAGGTGCTCACAGCACTTGCCCCAGCAGTCTGTTAAAGGCTACAGGGGGGTTGGGGGGAGGGGGTCTTTGTCTTCTGTACGTACGTACCACGGCCCCACACGAGTGGCTCGGCCCGGCTGTAGTCGACGCGGTACCACCCCGTGTCCTCCAACGCCGCCAGCGTCACCGTGTCCACCAGCACGAGGCCGGGGGCTCCCAGCGATGCCGTCATGATGGAGCCCTGCAGCGCACGCGCCTCCCAGTGCGACGATGGCACCGACGAGCCGTCCTGCGGGGCGGGATCGAGGGGTGAGCCGGATTATCCTAGGAACAAAAGTAGCTGCATATGCTACGGGCCCCACACTTTCAAGGGCCCCGCGTTGAATGCTTTCAAGCTATAAATTCCGGTTCAGTGATTCTGCACTTGCTCTATTACTATAGTACTATACTGCCTTCAACTTTTACGAACGAATGGGTGTTTAAGGTTAGCGATGTGTCGTATTATCTGGTTGTATATAAAATGAAAAAATACAATTACTTTACTTTGCAAGTAAAAAATGTTGTGTTTTAATATTTGCGTTTTTTTATTTAGGGCCCCTTTAGGACCCGCACTAGCTTAATCCGCCACTGGGTGAGGTCACTGTCGGGGTCAGGTGAGGGTCAGAGGATAGGGTTAGGGTTGTGGTGCAGGTTGCGTTGGGGATGTTTGGAACAAAGTGGGGTCTTCTCAAGTTTAAGGTACGGTGCAGGAGGCCTTGGCAGTGACAGAAGTTACTGAGAAAGGTAAAATTAGAAATTATTGCCTGGTCGACAATATTTTCCTATCATACCTGATTGGTGTGGCCGAGATGCCTGCAGTGACGGCTATATTATTATTTGCGGGCTGTACCTAAGTAGTAGGCCTCATATGGCCACGGACTACATTAATTGAAGCCGTGGACCGGATATGGCCTGCGGACTGTGGGTACCCCTCCCCAGGTTTAGTTCAAGGTGGTGTCATATGTTGTTGAACTTCTTTCACACCGTACGTAGCCAACTGCGCTAATCGGAGGTGTGGGGGAAAGACGGCAAACTAAACGCAAACAGCAGTTCGAAAGAAATGAGTTTTCAATCAAGATCATTTAAAAGTACATCGCTCCAGTGGCTTCCTAACATCGGAAGCAAGAGCGTTCCAGACGGCCGCAGAAGAGCGTCTGAAACTGCGCGAAGCAGTCAAGATAAGGTTGTGAGGTCAGAGTGGGGTCATGCTGGGGTCAGGGTGGTCACCGCGTCCTCCAGGACCCCGCCGCACTCGGAGGAGTTGCAGGCCAGGAGGTGCTGCACGGTGCGCAGCACGGCCGGGGTGAACACACGCTGCTGCCCGTGTGCGTCCTCGTTTGTGACCTGGGCCCGCGGGGAGCAGTCCCGGCCCAGCGCCAGCGCTGCGCATCGATTCATCGCAGTGGGTGGTAGGGGGTGGGGTCGGTCAGTCGCACAAGGTTCGATGTTTCGATTTAAAGCTTTCGTGACTGCAGGGATTCATCTTCTTGGTTCTTTTGGTAAAGTCACATAGAAGGGAAATAATAAAATAATAAAAATAAAACATACTAAAATAATTATCACGACGTTTCGGCCACAATGCAAGCAGCTGTCCTCAGGTGAAGACCAGGTCTGTCGGGGAGACAGCGTCTGAATGAGCTTCATTCAGACCTGGTCTTCACCTGAGGACGGCTGCTTGCGTTGTGGCCGAAACGTCGTGAGAATTATTTTATTATGTTTAATGTTATTATTTTATTATTTCCCTTCTACGCGACTTTACCGAAAGAACCAAGAAGAAGAAGGTTCGATGTGTTATTCGTAGAATTCTTATCAACGATTGCAGGTGCGAATTGTTTGCCGAGGCACACTCAATGAAGAATTAAAGAGCCGAGACGAGAACACTCAGATTCGGTTATTTGAAAGTTCGATTTGCTCGCCAAGGTTTCCGTTAGTTGGCGACGACACGAGGAATCGCCTCGTCGGGTGCCGCTCGCTCACCCGAGTCGCTGCAGTCGCGCCACTTCCTGTAGAGGTCCTTGGAGAAGCCGAGTGCGTGGAAGAGCTCGTGAATGACGGCCTGTGTGATAACAGCGTCAGCGCCAAATATTATGATCATTTCAATTTGTGACACGCCGCTGAACGGTATTTTCTCACGACTCGGCAGGCGACGAGGAACCACAGATGAGCGGGAAAGGCAGCAGCCAATCGGTGAGCTCTGCAGTTATTTATATATTAACGTGTTATCGACCAATTTATGAGTGTTTACAATGTGGAAGGAAATTGAAAGGATCCTGAGAAAACCCACTCATGCAAGGGGGAAACTCTATATCCCATACAGACGAAAAAAGTGGAGTCCACATTTTTGCTGTACCACCTCCTGGTGAACCTTGATGCCCATGGGAAGGGAGTTTCGCAACATTTGTGCGATCCACCAACACACGCTTCCACAGTGCTGGATTAGAGGCGTGCGCCACCTCCACCCAGCTGACGCATATTTTTGCTTAAACGTCCTATCACTTCCATAGGTGAGATTCATCTCATCCACCTCATTTATGCATCCAATCATAAAATTCATCATCTCCGTCCGTCCATCCATCCCTAACTTAGCCATCACGTGCAACACCAAACGTTCTATAATGTCCATCAATCACATCCATTGCATCATCATCGCCGGCATCACGTTCATCGCAACCATCCATCGCATCAAATCATCACAAGGGGACCAACCATCCAAGCCATTGTTTCACCCAGCCTTTCATCACAAAGTCCTTCTTGTCCACCACTGATCCCTGCTCACCAGCACTGTGCTGTCACTGTTGAAGGCGTCGCCCCGGAGCGACGCGGGGCAGAAGGTGGCGGCCGCGGCTACGGGTCGGTCCACCTGGTCCAGCTGACAGTAGGCGGCGTAGGCGGTGACCTGATGCACCGCATGTGCAGGGTCAGGGTTCCAGCGCAGGGTCAGGGTTCCAGTCCGAGTCGAGGGTGCAGGGTCCAGGGTTAGTGAAGACGAGCGAACATAGGGGCGATGATGGGTGGGACAGATACAAGTTTGTTTGTGCGTGTGTGTCACTTGTGTGTGCAGGTGTCGTGTGTATAGGTGTGTGTATACGTGTAGGGAGCGGCAGTGTAGCGGTTAGCGCGCTGCGCTACGAACCCGACTACCCAAGTTCGATTCTCCACTCACGGCCACACACCAGTGACGGTTATCTGAACCGGTCCTGGGCCTCCCCTAGGTCGACTCAGCCTCGAATGAGCACCTAGTGCGGTATGTAAACATCGCCATTGTGGAGACAAAGGCGGTCGGGTGCGGTGCTGGCCACTCACCCCCTCGTGTGCCGTGCCGGCCTTCACAGGTGCTCACTAACAGCACTTGCCCCCAATAGTCTGTTAAGGCTACACGGGGATCTTTGTTTTGTCGGTGGCACATTGTGGAGTACAGGCGGTGCCTCTGCCAGTCATCTCAGTGAACACTTGGCTCAGCCCCGTGACTTCCTGTCGGCAATCCTTCGACAACCATTGTCAGTTGCGAGTGATATCTGAACGGGTGCCTGGCCTCCCCTTGGGCGACTCAGTCCTAAAATGAGTAGCTGATGTTGCATATACACATCAGCACTTGGGGAGACAAAGGCGGCTGGCCACGGTGCTGGCCTCGTGGTGCCGTGCCCGCTTTCAAAAGGCGCTCGCTGCTAACAGCGCGTGCCCACTTCGGTCAATGGACGAGGGGTGGTTGGTGTGGTCGCCCTCCCCCACCTCCCCCGACTCTGTATCCCTGACCCCCATAAGGCCGTTGGCCTCGATGCGAGTGCCCTGCCCGCACACTCGCTAGCCACGCCGCAGTCGAGCTCCAGCGCGTGGGTTCGCACCCCGGCGGCGCAGCGGAGGGTGTCGGCGGCGCGCACGTAGAGGATGAAGTCAGAGTCCAGGACCCCGGGACCGTCCCCACGGATCTCCACACCGGAACCCGAGCTGCCCCACGTTGAGTAGCCCAGCAGGTGCTCCTCGGGAATCTGAGCCGATCGGGATGGAGGAAGACGGTGGTGGCGGTGAGGGTGGTGGCGGTGAGGGTGGTGGCGGTGAGGGTGGTGGCGGTGAGAATGGTGGCGGTGAGGGTGGTGGCGGTGAGGATGGTGGCGGTGAGGGTGGTGGCGGTGAGGGTGGTGGCGGTGAGGACGGTGGCGGTGAGGGTGGTGGCGGTGAGGGTGGTGGTGGTGAGGGTGGTGGCGGTGAGGGTGGTGGCGGTGAGAATGGTGGCGGTGAGGGTGGTGGCGGTGAGGGTGGTGGCGGTGAGGGTGGTGGCGGTGAGGGTGGTGGCGGTGCATCTGCCAGTCATCTCAGTAAGTCGACCCATGGGCACCTGCTGGGTCTGTCCCGTCACCTCCTGTCAGTGGGCGTTCGACGCTTCACGTGGACTTGAAGTGCACGTAGCCTGGTACAAGCGCCGTGGTGACGTCTCCACCACTTAGTGGCGAGTGGCGGTTGTTGTTGGTGATTTATGACGGTCACTGCTGCCAATGAGACTATCGTTTGTCGTTTGATGGTGGCCATGATAGCGACGAAGGTGGTGATGATGGTAGCAGCGTTGCGGATGCTTGTGATGATTGATGACGGTGGAGGTGTTTGTGATTAATTGATGATTCATGATAATGATGGTGTTGATGATGAAAATGGCAGTGATGATACATGGTGTTTCATGATGATCGTGGCGGTGGAGGAGATGGTGGTGGTGGTAGGTGTAGCAGCAATGGTAATCGTCGTCATGACGGTGGTGGTAGTGGTAATGAGGCTGTACCTTTGCTTCCAAACACATCTCCCCAGTGTACCTGCTGTCCAAAGTGGAGCACCTATGACAGGAGCCATGTGGAGGGAGGGAGGGAGAGAGGACAGAGGGAAGGAGAGGGGAGCACGAGGGGCGATGGGTACGGGATTCCAGCGTTAGTACTCAAACTCACGGCATGTTTTTTTTTTACGATTGATGTTAAAGAAGGGACGTTGCTGGACCTTCTGTGTGGAGGCGCTGTAGCCAAGGGGATAGGACACAATATGTGATGTGGTGCATGGAGAGGCAGTAGCCATGATCGGGTGTGGGTAGTGATAGAGGTTAAGTGATGGGGAATACTGTTGATGTGTGTGGGCAGTGTTGGGTCGTGGTAATGATGGAGACATGTGTGGATATGATGGCTCAGTGTAGTTAGAGAGAACCTACTTCCCTCCATTCTCATATGACTGGGGCCAGAAGCTCTTGCAGTATTTGCTGGGAGTTCGGCTCAAACGCAGTGGACCTGACACAGGGATTACTGCACACACACACAAAAACAAAGATCCCCCGTATAGCCTTTAACAGACTGTTGGGGCAATTGCCGTTAGCGAGGACCTATGATGGCCAGAACGGCACACAAAGGGGGGGGGGGGGGGGCAAACACCACTCCCGGCTCCCTGTTTCCTCGGCACTGATGTTTACACACCGCACCCGATACTCATTTCAGGCCGAACCAAACTTGGAGAGACCCAGGCCATATTCAAATATTCGCCACTTATGCTAGCCGTGAGCAGAATCGAACTCGGGCCACCGGGTTCGAAGCGCAATGTGATGTGCCATCGCTCCGCACTAACATACAGATGTACTGTCCACACACACACGGGCACCCGAACTGAGACAATTCATGAAATCGCTCGGAGGAGGTGGTGGATCGATACAGGCATAACGCATTATTGATACGCAGCGATAATGACAAATAAGATTTCAGATATTTCATTTGCCGGTACCATCAGAGGTGGCTTTCCTTTAGCGGTTCCGATTCCATTACGCAGCCAATAACAGCGGTATGACTTCACATGCAATTCAACGTGTATTTGTTCAATGAGTGGGGTTATTTAGAAGTCGTTTGCTCTCGTTGTAAATAAATCGGTACGACTAAAGATAGCGCTGCCCCCCAACGTGGCACGTCTGCTCTGGCCCTCGGACAACGACGGCGGGATGGAGATTGTTGGCTCACGAGGCGTCTCTACCACGCGTGCAGCTCGCGTGCCGCGTGACTTGTAGAGCTGCCGGGCGAGACGTACGGCACGACATTTGTTGCTATGATCCTCGGTGTTTAATGTTCGCCAATATATTACAGCAACAAATAGCACGCCATAGAGACGCGCGCACAGCCAGCCTCTCTGGGTTAATCTTTGACCGCTCACAATTCCCCCTCCCCGCCACTAACCGCCTGTGTGGGTCCCTGGCACTATTATTCTGTCATGATGGCTCTCTGTTTTTTTTACGATCAGAGGAAACAAGAAGATGCTTGGTGTAGTCGGCACTTTGCTTCGTTAATCATTTCGGTTTTTTTTCAATGCTTTGCTTTTTGTGCCCCCCCCCCTTTTTAAATGAAAGATTTCACAAAAGATTTCACGCTCTGCTTCTTACCCCCCCCCCCCTCTCTACCCCCTCTCTCCCTACTCCATGTCTATGTTCCCCCTGTTTTCTATGTAACATTTGTGATGTTTTTTTTACTCTCTCTCGTTATTTTCAGATGTGATTATTCGTGGCATTAAGCCAGGGGGTTGGTGGGTGCATAGCGTAGACGTGGGGACTCTGCTGCATATGAATTTCGATGACATTGCAGGGTCGTCCAGATATCCTGTGACCTCCCATTTAAATTATTTTAAACTTAATATATATTTTAAAAGGTTTATTTAAAACAGAAATGAATTTGCAAATACAACAATGTTAGGGATCAATTAATTGGGGGGGGGGGAGTCACAAAACATCTGGATCACCCTGTACTATTCCAACTACACCATTGGTACCTCATTTGCCAGTAAAATATATGATAATTGTTTTTTTTACTCTTTAATCTGGCAAAAAAACTGCCAGATAAAAGGGTAAAAAAACAATTATCATATTTTTTACTGGCAAATGAGGTACCAATGGTGTAAATGCTTATCCCGAGCTCTCATACTCTGATGGTGCATTTTCTTTGAGTTGTGCGCCTTTTGGCGTCATCTGGTCCAACCCATGTGAGACTAGGCTCTAAGGAAAGCTGTCTCGGGTGTGGACCAATCAACTTCAAGGACAGTGCATACATTATCAGAGTTATGTTTTTTGTTTGCATTATGACTGCAGGTATTGTGGTCTATGCAAACATGACTCCTCGTAAAAAAGGTGCACATTTTTTTTTTGACAGATAAAAGGGTAAAACACCAATTATCCTATCTTAATTTAGGAGCTTTCGTGACTGCAGGAATTATTCTTTGGTTCTTTTCGGTTAAGTCACGACGTGACTTAACCGAAAAGAACCAAAGAACCAATTATCCTATTCCAACTAGTCAGCCAGATCCGATATCCCTATCCCTAAACCTAACCACATCAGCCAACCAGACTTCAACCCCGAATTCACTCCAGTGACATCATTTTTTGGGGCGCCAAATTATTAAAATAATTCTTGTTTTTCGGATGCATTTAGTTCGGAGCATAGATTCGGCTAAATTTGTGCCAAGTTTTCAGCTTTCTCTCACCCTTCGAGAGCATCATTACAATTTACATCAGTCGACCAAGAGCCTCTTGGTGGAGGTATAGCATCGCTGTAAAACGCCGGTGACATTTCACAGTTTTTATGGCCCTCCCCAAAGACCCCATCCATTCATTCATCACACTTTACCTAATATATATTTATTTTAGTTTAACAAACCCGTACCCAACTCTCAAACTGTAGGCAACAACGATTTTAACCGAGGTGAAGAGCCACAAATCCACACAACCGCCTTGCATAACCTAGGAACCCGCACAAATAAAATAGATCAGTGGCGCACTGCTTAGTGTAATTTTGCGATGAATCTGGCCAGAACTGATATCTAATCGCGGCCACTTCTAACATCAGTGGTGAGCGATATCTGAACCGGTGCAGCGTGGCAACTATAAAGTCTCCGGTCACACAACACCCCCGTGACCAACACGGCGTGGGGAGGCCTCCATCCAGCAGTGAATTGACGAAGGCCTTAAAGGTTTGTGTTATTATTTCGATTTAAAGCTTTCGTGACTGCAGGGATTCATCTTCTTGGTTCTTTCGGTAAAGTCACGTAGAAGGGAAATAATAAAATAATAAAAATTTAACATAATAAAATAATTCTCACGACGTTTTGGCCACAACGCAAGTAGCCGTCCTCAGGTGGAGAACAGAGTCATTCAGACTCTGTCTCCTCGACAGACCTGTTCTCCACCTGAGGACGGCTACTTGCGTTGTGGCCGAAACGTCGTGAGAATTATTTTATTATGTTTTATTATTATTTTATTATTTCCATTCTACGTGACTTTACCGAAAGAACCAATAAGAGGTTTGTGTTATTGTTTCATGCTCTAACAGACACACGGACAGACACATTTCAGTCGTTTTACAGCGATGCTATTATACCCACGGTTCAGCAAAGACGGCACGCAACAAACGCCGTCGTTGTTAAACAAATTGCGCTTCGCTCGCTGGCCGTGCGGGGGAGTCGTGCGGGGGGGGGGGGGGATGATTGACAGCTCACCCGCCAGCAGCTCCGAGACCCTTCTCACGGCCGTCTGCACGGACGCTTGCAGCCTCGTACTCTCCTCCGCCTGCAGGCCCCCCAACTCCTCCGCCAAGAGCTCCACGTGGATCCTCATCGGGCGGGCGCCCTGCTGACCACCACCACCAGTCGTCGTCGTCGCTGCCGCTGCCCTGAACGCGCCTCTCGGTTGTGATGATGATGGTGGTGGTGGTGGTGGTGCCGGTTGTGCGTAGGACAGCACCACGGTGGGGGCATACGAGGGCTGCACCAAGTCGTGCACGCAACGTGCCGACCCCGAGTCGGGGCCCGCGGTCCAGGCGAGCAGCGCGCCCACGTGGAGCAGGAGGGCTCCACGTGCCATCGTCCTCGCAGGCGTCAGAGCCAAGGAACCTGCTCCAAAGTCGGTGACTGGCTGGGGTCGTCAACGCCTTCTCCTCCACCTGGAACCTTGCTCAGCCTCCTCTTGTTTTGTGCCACGCTCTGCGCTCTGCTTCCTCAAATTCTCAATGAGCTGCTCCTGTTGCCCGCCGCCTCTTCCTCTCGTTTTTACGTCAAAAAAAGTCCTCCACTTTCTTTTTTATTCTAGCCCGCCTCCCTTTGCCAGGACCCTTGGTTTTCCTTCTCACACTCGTCGTTGTTCTTCTGAGCTGCTGCTATCTCCCACCTCTTGACCTGCTCTTCATCTTCCTAACCTCCTCCTGCTGGCTTCCTGTTGTACATTCCCTCCGCTAACTTTGCACCTCTTAATCTCCTCTTAACTCCCTGCTCTTCCTCCTATCAGCATCCTCCTCCTCTTGGCCTCATAGACAAAAAAAACAGCTCCTCCGCTTAGCACGGTTGGCTACGTACGGCGCGAAAGAAGTCCACCATACATACGTACACACAGCTCTTGTAGAGCCGCCACCACCACCACCGTCCGCCTCCCCCGTTGCCCCCCGAGTTGCCACGCAGTTGTTTACTCACTCGCAGTGAAATCCTCTCCCCAATTAAAACACCTCCCCTCCGACTGGGGCACCTCGCCTCTTAATCCCCGTGGGTAGGTGGATTGATGGATGAGATCCGAGCTCCTCCAATAAACCCCCCCACCCAACTCAACCCAGGAGCCGGGGAACAACAACAAACCTGACTCCTGTTGAGATGTCGGCTGACTCCAACGAGGCGCCCTGGCCGCGAGCATCCAGGAGGAATCCGAGTCGAGAGCGAGGGAGTTTTTGTTCCCTCTGAACGAGAAGGCGTATCTCCCCGGTGTCCATTGAGCTGCGTGTCTCTCTTGGCTCTCTCTCTCGAGCTATCAGATTGGTGTGTTTCTATCCCCGAGGCCTCCTTTGTGTGTTCTCTGTGTCTGTCGTGTCGCTCTTCTCTCGCTTTCTCGTTTGATGGGTCTCGCTGTCTGTTGGAGTGGTGGTGCAGTGGTTACCGCATTGTTTCTGTCATATCACTACCTCCTGTCTCCCCGTGACTCTCAGTGTCTCCGTGTCTCTGTCCGATCACTACCACCTGTCTTTCCGTCTCCCCGTGTCTCTCAGTGTCTCCGTGTCTCTGTACTATCACTACCCCCTGTCTCCCCGTGACTCTGAGTGTCTCCGTGTCTCTGTCCGATCACTACCACCTGTCTTTCCGTCTCCCCGTGTCTCTCAGTGTCTCCGTGTCTCTGTACTATCACTACCCCCTGCCTCCCCGTGACTCTCAGTGTCTCTGTGTCTCTGTCCTACCACTACCCCCTGTCTCCCCGTGACTCTCAGTGTCTCCGTGTCTCTGTACTATCACTACGACCTGTCTCCCCGTGACTCTCGGTGTCTCCGTGTCTCTGTACTATCACTACCCCCTGTCTCCCCGTGACTCTCAGTGTCTCCGTGTCTCTGTCCTATCACTACCCCCTGTCTCCCCGTGACTCTCAGTGTCTCCGTGTCTCTGTCCTATCACTACCCCCTGTCTCCCCGTGTCTCTCAGTGTCTCCGTGTCTCCCCATGTTGCTTGCTTCCTCCCCCGTGTCCCGCACGCGTTCCGCGTTCCGCATGCCGAAGGCGCCTCCCCAGTCCACTCCGTGACGCTTTACAAAAAAAAAGTAATTTACAACAAAATAAATAATGAAACGACGACAAGGCGCTGACACCCCCCCCCCCTGCTGCCCCCGCACCGCAGATTCCACAGAGGGTGCAGGGGGGGGGGTACAGGGGGGGGTGCAGGGGGGGAAGGTGACTCGAGAAAAATGTGAAATTTGCGCCGCGACTTCAATGAAGCATTGTCCGAGTGCGTCATGGTGCGAGTGATTATGTTGTGCTGTTTGACAGTGCTACGATGTGGGCTACCTGTGTGTGTGATGGACTACCTGTGTGTGTGATGGGGATACCTGTGTGTGTGATGGGGCTACCTGTGTGTGTGATGGGGCTACCTGTGTGTGTGATGGGGTACCTATGTGTGTGATGGGGCTACCTGTGTGTGTGATGGGGATACCTGTGTGTGTGATGGGGCTACCTGTGTGTGTGATGGGGTACCTATGTGTGTGATGGGGCTACCTGTGTGTGTGATGGGGCTACCTGTGTGTGTGATGGGGCTACCTGTGTGTGTGATGGGGCTACCTGTGTGTGTGATGGGCTACCTGTGTGTGTGATGGGGCTACCTGTGTGTGTGATGGGGCTACCTGTGTGTGTGATGGGGCTACCTGTGTGTGTGATGGGGCTACCTGTGTGTGTGATGGGGCTACCTGTGTGTGTGATGGGCTCCCTGTGTGTGTGATGGGGCTACCTGTGTGTGTGATGGGGCTACCTGTGTGTGTGATGGGGCTACCTGTGTGTGTGATGGACTACCTGTGTGTGTGATGGGGATACCTGTGTGTGTGATGGGGCTACCTGTGTGTGTGATGGGGCTACCTGTGTGTGTGATGGGGTACCTATGTGTGTGATGGGGCTACCTGTGTGTGTGATGGGGCTACCTGTGTGTGTGATGGGGCTACCTGTGTGTGTGATGGGGCTACCTGTGTGTGTGATGGGGCTACCTGTGTGTGTGATGGGCTACCTGTGTGTGTGATGGGGCTACCTGTGTGTGTGATGGGGCTACCTGTGTGTGATGGGGCTACCTGTGTGTGTGATGGGGCTATCTGTGTGTGTGATGGGGCTACCTGTGTGTGTGATGGGCTCCCTGTGTGTGTGATGGGGCTACCTGTGTGTGTGATGGGGCTACCTGTGTGTGTGATGGGGCTACCTGTGTGTGTGATGGGCTACTTGTGTGTGTGATGGGGCTACCTGTCTGTGTGATGGGGCTACCTGTGTGTGTGTGATGGGGCTACCTGTGTGTGGGGCTACCTGTGTGTGTGATGGGGCTACCTGTGTGTGTGATGGGGCTACCTGTGTGTGTGATGGGGCTACCTGTGTGTGTGATGGGGCTACCTGTGTGTGTGATGGGGCTACCTGTGTGTGTGATGGGGCTCCCTGTGTGTGTGATGGGGCTACCTGTGTGTGTGATGGGCTCCCTGTGTGTGTGATGGGGCTACCTGTGTGTGTGATGGGGCTACCTGTGTGTGTGATGGGGCTACCTGTGTGTGATGGGGCTCCCTGTGTGTGTGATGGGGCTACCTGTGTGTGTGATGGGCTACCTGTGTGTGTGATGGGGCTACCTGTGTGTGTGATTAGCTCCCTGTGTGTGTGATGGGGCTACCTATGTGTGTGATGGGGCTACCTGTGCGTGTGATGGGGCTAGCTGTGTGTGTGATGGGGCTACCTGTGTGTGTGATGGGGCTACCTGTGTGTGTGATGGGGCTACCTGTGTGTGTGATGGGGCTACCTGTGTGTGTGATGGGGCTACCTGTGTGTGTGATGGGGCTACCTGTGTGTGTGATGGGGCTACCTGTGTGTGTGATCGGCTACCTGTGTGTGTGATGGGTACTTGTGTGTGTGTCTGTGTGTGGGGAGGGGGAGCGGTAGTGCAGTGGTTACCGCGTTGCGCTACGAACTCGGCGAGAATTATTGTATTGTCACGATTGGTAATACACCCCGAGACAACGAAGCAGAGCATCACATCACACACACATCAATCACAAATAACCAACACACATCAATCACAAATAACCAACACACACACAGAATACACCCCGAGACAACTATGCCGAGTTAATAATCATAATAATGCACGTAACTACACGCACACCTATTGATCATAATACAAACTTACACGCACACATTAATAATATTCCTACACACACACATCGATCATATACATACATTTTCACGTAATACTATACACATTTAATCACACATACGATTGATAGCATTACACTTACACTCAATTAACATGAAACACACGTTTAATCAGTTTTTATTAGTTGGCATAATTTGCATAATTACACTCATTTGCGTAATTTCACAAATGGACATAATTTCGTAAATTTTCATGTTTCACATGTTTAATTACATTTTTTTCACAATACAATATACGCAACAGCCACCCTTACCCGCCCCCCTTAATTACACAAATCCCGCGCCATGAGGGATGTGAGAAGGGTCGTGGGGGGGGGGAGATTCAAACTCCGTGCCCCTTGTGACCTCATCAACATCTGGGCACGTGGAGGGATAGCGGAGAGGGTGGGGGGGAGGGGGTGGTGGGGAGGGGGGGGGTGGGGAGGGGGGTTGGCAGGGGGTTGGTGGGGAGGGGGTGGTGGGGAGGGGGTGGTGGGGAGGGGGGTTGGCAGGGGGTTGGTGGGGAGGGGGTTGGTGGGGAGTGGGTGGTGGGGAGGGGGTGGTGGGGATGGTTGGGAGGGGGTTGGTGGGGAGGGGATGGTTGGGAGGGGGTTGGTGGGGAGGGGATGGTTGGGAGGGGGTGGTGGGGAGGGGATGGTTGGGAGGGGGTTGGTGGGGAGGGGGGGGTTGGAGTGGGTGGTGGGGAGGGGGTGGTGGGGAGGGGATGGTTGGGAGGGGGTTGGTGGGGAGGGGGGGTTGGAGTGGGTGGTGGGGAGGGGGTTGGTGGGGAGGGGGGGGTTGGAGTGGGTGGTGGGGAGGGGGTTGGTGGGGAGGGGGGGTTGGAGTGGGTGGTGGGGAGGGGGTTGGTGGGGAGGGGGGGGTTGGAGTGGGTGGTGGGGAGGGGGTTGGTGGGGAGGGGGGGTTGGAGTGGGTGGTGGGGAGGGGGTTGGTGGGGAGGGGGGGGTTGGAGTGGGTGGTTGGGAGGGGGTTGGTGGGGAGGGGGGGTTGGAGGGGGTTGGTGGGGAGGGGGTGATGGGGAGGGGGTTGGTGGGGGGTTGGTGGGTAGGGGGGTTGGTGGAGGGGGTTGGTGGGAGGGGCAAGAGAGGGAGGGATGATGAAAATAATGGAAGGGGAGGAGTGGAGGGAGAATGAGTTGAGAGAGAGAGAGAGTTAAAGGAGCAGGAGGAGAAAGGACGCTTCGAGGTAGGTGATTGAGAAAGGAACAGAGGAGCAAAGGAGAACAAGAAGAGGTGAGGGAGGAGGTTTAACGGAGTCGAAGGAGGAAGTATGACGATGAGGAGAGAGGGAGCCTGAGGTACAAGAGAGAGGAGATGGGCGGAGGTGAGATTGAGGAGAGGTCGGCGAGAGAGGAAGGATGAGGAAACAGAGGAGGGATCCCGAGGAGAGGGAGTCGAGGAAGAGGAGGTTGCACGGAGATGAGGTCGAGAGGAAAGAGCTGAGGAAGAGGGCGGTGGGGAAACGCATGGGACGGTGAGCAGTGAATGAGGAGTCGTCGGGGAATGAGGACAGGAAGAGAGTGAGGGATGAGGAGGAGCTAAGAGGAGATGAGCACGAGGGGAGGGAGCGTGGGAGGAGGGGAGGGGGTTCTCTGATCCCCCCCGTAATTTGCCTTCAGCTTCAAGGTTAAGCCGCCTGTATGCTCCGCTCGGCAAGCGAGGAGAACACCGCAGGCACACACACCACGACACCTGGGAGCCCCCCCCCCCCTTCATGTCCCAATGAGGAACCCATTGCACCCCCTAATAGACACCAACGCCTCCGCACGTGTCCTCTTCCACCCGACAATTCCATCTGTGGTGGCCGGGGAGGCAACTCACATTCATCACGATCAAGTCCATTGTGGGCGACGTCGCCATCGCTTCCTTCCTTCTGCCAACACAGGCCTTTGCGACTTATCGGGTCTGCTCTGACACCCCCCCCTCCTTCCCCAACTCGTGGAGATCCGCACTCGGGAGTGTGGGTATGGGTGCCGTAGAACTAGATGCATTAAGTATTCCTCTGCGTTCGTGTAAATTCCACATTCATCGTATACAGCCCTTCATTGACCCACTACTGTGTAGATGTGTGGACTCGTAAACAACCGGTAGCGGGGCTTGGCCCACTGAGTGTCGTAATCCATGGCAGTCGAATTGCACGCCTCGCTGATGGCGGGGGTCTCTCTTTTTACATGAAGCGCTTAGCACGACGCTCAAAGCAATGCGGAACTTTAGGCTGACCGTGCACTTAAAGTAATCTGCTTTTTTTTGTATATACGTAGTAATAAAATGCGATGATAACATGTATTGTGAAACGTTGTTTTTAATATAAATATATATTCTCTAGGATTTAAAGAATATTCTGGCTAAAGAGTTACATTCATAGGAGGGCAGATTGAAAAGTTAGAGCAATTTGAAATGAATCGTGTTAGTCTTCAGTTTTCGTTAATCCCACATCTATTTATTATTGTTTATTATTATTCCTACGTCTTCCAAACGTCTTCCGCCGGTTCAATTTAATTCATTGTTTGCTTGTTGCACGGAAGAAAAACAACTTGTTTAGCCAGTCACTCAGCCAGTTTTTGGTGGCATTGTCCCGAAGCGGCCACTAACAACAGTTATTGTTGAGGTAGAGAGGAGTCCAGCCAGCAGCCAGCGAGGAAACGAGGCTTAGATTTCTTTTAAAACTAATATGATAAGCGTTGCCTCGACAATGTGTCAGATTTCAGCCCTTCTAAAACATAATTATAATGTATATGACTTAAAGCTTGCGCGACTGCAGAAATTCATATTCTTTGGGTCTTTCGGCAAAGCTACGTAGATTTAACGAAAGACCCAAAGAATATAA